CTGTGGCTCATGTGGGTCCCAATGCCCCAGTGTAGTGACGGGGACACTATAACGTAAACAGGCACTGTCCTTCGGATGAGACGTAAAACCGAGGTCCTGACTCTCTGTGGTCATTAAAAATCCCATGGCGTTTCTCGAAAAGAGTAGGGGTTTACCCCGGCATCCTGGCCAAATTTCCAATTGGTCCTTACCAATCATGGCCTCCTAACAATCCCCTTCTATGAATTGGCTTCATTACTCTGCTCTCCTCCCCACTGATAGCTGATGTGTGGTGAGCGTTCTGGCGCACTATGGCTGCCGTCGCATCATCCAGGTGGATGCTGCACATTGGTGGTGGTGGAGAGGAGTCCCCATTACCTGTAAAGCGCTTTGAGTGGAGTGTCCAGAAAAGGCACTCTATAAGTGTAAGCAATTATTATTATTATTATTATTATTATTATTATTAGTGTCCATAGAGATTAGATTCCTCAACGAAACAAGAGGACAAATACATCAAATTAAATAAAGTCAAGAAGTTAACTAAGATCCTGTTGTTACAGAAGTTTCAAGTATAGTACCATATTCTATGATATGCTTTACCTTATTACATGTGAAACTTAATTAAAAAGTTAAAAACAACTCTATCCCCAATTTTTGTTATACACCAGTATTATGGTAGACCCATCTGCAACAATAAAAATTTGCCCTCTCGTGGACAGCGTGAGAACACATCTGTAAAACGTGAGAGGCGTATTATTTGGGATTGTACCTGCATTCACCTTTCTAAATCATTGTTTATATTAACGTGACCAAACATTAGCCCGAAGGTCACATGCCAGCACAGCTACTGAAACAATTTCAAAAGGTGAACTTGTGATGTATGACTTGGTATTTTAGTATCGTTACTCAACTGAGAGTGTTAGTTGTGTATTGCTAATATGAAACAATGAACTTTTGTCACTAAATGTGATGTTATGTATTTAACATTGCAATACAAAATTCAAAAGACTTATCCCACACTTAACCAACAAACAGTTGAAGAAAAGAGTTTAGTATGCTGTATTCAAATGTAATGTGCAGCTGTAAAAAACATTTCAGTTTTTCGATGGGTACAGTATCTGTCCTATCCCTGTATATACTTCTATCGCTGCAGATATAGCTAGTTATCTCATTATGTCCATGAGGAATAGTCATGAACATAATGTTAGGCATTAAAACATTCACACTCAGACTCAGTTGTGTCGTGTCTTATTAACAGCCATTTTTTTTCGTAAAAAAAATGATTGTATCTTGGTTAAAGCTTTTGCTTTGCTTTCCTTGGTAAGGCCGGAATAAGAACCCTCCAACTCAGCAAATAAATTAAGATAATGTGTCAACACTCATCAGCTTCCCTATGGGATCAATAAAGTGTTATCTATCTTATCTATTAAAAATGTAATAGTAGTACAATTATGCTTAAAAACTCTGAATATATTCATTACACGTATCAAAGGATTTGTAATGAATTACTGTGCTTAATTATACATCTTCTCCACATTTAATATCAAGTTGTTTTGGCCAGATCGGAACGAAGAAACAAATTATCTTGGAACTTAGGAGTGATTTAGATGGATTGGTGTAGCTCCATACATTAGATATACCTGATTTCATATGCCATGCTTCAAAGAGCAGAAGCTTGTCTATGACACCTTGAGCAATAAAAAAGAACCTTCTGTGCAAGAGGGACTAAGTGTACTATTTTTACTAACTGGGTCACCATGCTGCCCCGGGGGCTATAGGCAACATATTTAATTGCCCAGGTAACACAAACAGATGTTCAAAACAATTTCTCTTCTGTTGTCTTACAATGCAGTCCTCAGGTTGATACAGTAGCAAATTGGATTAAAATAAATGAGAAATAATGCTTCTGCTGAAGATCTGTCTTACATTTCTTGAAATAATGGGACTTGTCATGACTAGAGTGGAGCTAAATCTCTCTTTTCTTGTTTCACAAGAGAGCCTAAAGTAGGTTTCTAGGTTTGGCTGGCAATGTTGAAACAGACAATAACTCTGCATTTGTCCCCTCTAAGGATGGTGGAGGGTGTTGGCATTTCTCTCCCTCTCTGCCTCCATCTTTCTCCATCATTAATTTTGGATTCCTTTCTCCCTTTTCACGATTGTCCTGTCAGGACCAAGCAGGGCTCAGCCCAGACCACGCTTGATTGCTGTTTTATTGTCTTTGTGTGTTACTGCTCTTCTTAATCAGATCAATAGCCACAAAACCTTTTTCCTCTTTACTCTTGAGGTGTATAGGAAAGCCTTTTGACATCTTAACACATGTTCATACAGAACCAGCCACCAGCACAAATATATTTACTTATCTGTGGTGGAGTTTTTTAAAGTCCATTGTGTGTTCACAACACTAAGAGAAAGCAATGAAACTGCATCTACAGAATGTAATGAGCATTGATTAATAATCTATAGAGGCTAAAAGACAGCAAAACAGAGCAGTTTTACAATTTCAATGTTTTAGCATCTTTGTATTTATTGCATAGCATTGTTAGCACTGTTTTGCATAGCATTTCATTCTGTATGTAATATATATAAATTGACACAAGAATGAGATGTAGGGTTTTGTTAAATATGTGTCCCAGATTTCATATTCCATGACCTTCCTATACAGTATTTCAAGAAGCAGTGACATATCTGCAGAGTTTTGCTGATGAGGTCTTGCTTTGCAGGGAAATAAGGGCTTGTTTTAAGAAAATCAGCTTGCTACTTACACACTGAACGACATATTTTGTATTGCAGCCAGGTTCTATTCACTATAACATGGTCTGTCAAATTAAACTGCATCTTATTTTCCAATAGAAATCCTGCTGTTTGTGATTCCACTAGCCACTGCACAGCTTGGTGCCTTGTATTTTGTCTACCTCTGGAGTTGTGGGAGGGTGTTTTCTACAAATATAAATGCTGTCTGCTCTCCTGCTAGGAAAAACTCCAAATAACAAAACTGTGGGGGTAGCAAATCTGTCTTAATTCTGCTCTTCCTGATTTGGGTTGTAATTAAATGTTATGGAGACCATGGAATTATTTTGGCAAATTGTTTTAATTTCATTCACTACCATCATATACAGGTCTAATAAAGGACCTCTATTATAAATGTATTGTAATTTGTTAGATAAAAAATATTTTTTCAAATGAAAATAAGATTCTCCAGGATCTTCTCAGATTTTCTAATGAATACCACACTTGATGGCATGGTATGGGATGCTAGTAGGATGATTTCCATTTCTTCCAAAACATGTATTAATAACATTAAAGGTGTCTGTGGGTGTTAGTAGGAATAATAGGGTAATGAAGGCAAGCTGTAAATAACTTTAAAGAAAAACAAACTGCATTGGAAAAATGGGGAAAAAAATGTGATCATGAACAGAGTATGTGGGGTTTAGAGGATTTGATCAGCCCTGATGGAGACCGTTGGATGAGACATCTCTGTGACTCACCCAGTAGCACCACATAAGCTTCTGTCAACATTCTGCCACACCTCTCCCCAAGCTGCCACAGACCCATACCATGGAAAGAGGGCAATCTGTTTCTACTCATTGAAGCGAGGAAGGATGCAGTGATTGCATTCAACTGACCTGAAAAAAATCATTTTTAGTCCAGTTAGACTTTATTGGGGGAAATCTAATTTTTAAGGCTCGAAATAAATGTCCTCTTCTTTTTCACGGTGACTGACTTTACTTGAAGGCAAATTCATTGTTTCTGTCCTGGGCCTGCCTTCTTCACTGCGGAATAAGGCCAATGGGTTAGGGAAAAGTATGCTATACAGGCCAAGTGTCAGAGAAGCTGTTTGCATTTGTAAAGAAGTGCCTGTGAGTTAAAAGTATAAGACAGTTCAGTCCCCCGTTTTTTTTGTCAGTGCTCACGATTGAAGAAGCAAAACTGTACATTCCAATATGGATCAAAGCAGACAGAGAAAGGTGAGAATTATTTTTCTCAAGATTCATCACACTAGGTGTAGGTGTACTAAATATAAGTCTACTGACACCCGTTACGTTCACTCTTGCTCTCCCTACTTAAAAGGCTTGAAATACTGTAATATTTTTTTACAAATTCAAAGACAATTTAAAATACACATAGAGAAATGCAACTACATAGATTTTTTTCTAAAAGGGGCCTCTGGAATCTTTAACACCAATGAAAGAAGTGCATTAATGTTGTAGGGGGACTGTGATGAGAGGAAACACATTATGCACATGAAATTTGAAGAAACTATTTCTCTTCTGTCAGGCTTAACATTTAATGAAAATTCCTTGCAAACCACAGTGCAGCTTCACTGCAAATGTCAAATGTAAAACATGATCTTCACAAGCTTTGTCATCATGCTTCCCCTCAGCAGAATGTGATCATTAACTAGAAACCATTATCATTTTCTTTACATAACACCTTTTTGCTTGAAGTCTGTTTGTGTTGTTTTGTTTGCTTTTGCACAGCTTCTTTAATTAGTCTTGAAAAAAGGAATTACGTTATAAATATTTTTATAGTCTTCTGGTTTGTATTTAGCTTCTTTATGGGTTTCCCCAGGTGTTGCACAAAGCAGAGAGCAGCCAAATTTTAAAGCAATTAAAAAACTGAATATTTTTAGCTCCAAGACTACTCCAACTACATAAGCAACAGAACCAACAACAAAATAATGATTCATAATAATACAATGCAGGCATTATGGCAAGGTTAGGTAACATATTGCATAACCAAGAGTGAAAATTGAGGGCTTCAAGTCTTGAATGTCTAGGGATCATTGATTGCTTTTACTCAGAGCTCTCTGTATTGACAAGAAGAATCACTGTTAGCACTGCTACAAACTCTACTGCATATTCACAAGGCATTATTTTGCTTATTTTTTATTTAAGGAGGCATGATCCATTGAGAGTTGGCTTTCTCATAAAGTGGAAACCTGACAAAGATAGATTATGGTGTTCTGGGTGTTGAAGTGCATGTGTATTCAATGGGGTCAACCACTAGTAAGAAACAGAAACTTTAGGTAAACCACACTTTATTGGTACTTTTGGACAAGGCCAAGACAGAGGGATAGCATCCTTGCTCTTAACAAAAATCCTCAGATCTTTCAAAACATAGAACAAGATCCTGTCCTGTTATTTATCCAGTCTTCAGGGACAATGTGTGGATATGAGTCTTTGTTTTTTGTGAAGGAGTGAGGGGTACAGAAATTGATAAGAAACTTTGAAAAGATGACAACCTGTTCATTTTTGTAATTTCACATTCACAAGACCTCTATTCCACATTTTCTATAGTAGGTCATTTCTTGTTAATCCCACTATAGAATTTCTGAGACTTACAATCCTTTGAAATCATACCAAAACAAACACAGAAAACAAACAAATGGCGTCCTTAAAAAACAAATCAATAAAGATCCTTTTTCTAAATAGGCCTCACGCTGCAGAGAGAGTAATAGTGCAGCGCTAAACACTAAAAGATATATATAGCCAAGTGAACTAGCAGAGCCAAATGGCCTCATCTAGGCTGACAATCTAGTCTGAAACGTTTCTTGTTTTTTTGAGTCGTTTATAGCCACTTGATTAGAGGACTGAGTCAACACAGAACTACAAGGTGTTATAACTGTACTTTTAACTGAGAAGAGGGAGCTGTTCATTTCTGGGTGGCATTCAGGGATTCTGTAAATTGTGCTTTTGCTGCAAAGACCCTAGGGTGCTTCTGCTCATTCTCTGGGTGTGGTGGCATGGGCAGAGGCTGGGCTCTGGGCTGGCGCTGGCTCTGGGCAGTCTCCAAGATGCTTCCACCGTGGGAGGGGCTGTCTGCTTTCTCTCTCACACTCTCCAGCAGCACCTGCATGCTCTTCCTGAACACAGTGCGGGGGTCTCTGGTGGGCAAAGTGGGGCAGTCACACCTCTCCCTCAGTTCTAGTGCCTGGAGGTTAACAACACAAAACCCCAAGTCATCAAATGTTATCAACAGACTAACTTCACATCTTTTCTTACCATAAACAATATACAATATTTAGGATGTGTGGCATATCAATAACCTTTTAGTATTGCTTGTTTTACACTTTGTATGTTTCTTTTTTGGTATGTTAAGCCCTATAGTTCAGGTTATACAATTGGACCACTACAACATTCCTTGATTTAAATTCTACACTTTTAATTAGATATTTCTGTTCACCATTTGTATTGCTTCCCTACACTTTCCATATAACAAAAATATGTCAAAATAAGCAATTAAGTCTTTATCCCATCTTATATTTATACTGTATGTTTGTGCTACAGTACCTACATGTTACACCCTGCACTTACCTGCATTAAACTATAAATGCATAAATATAAAACTATGCTTAAAATATGTGTAGGGCTGGGAAAATGTGTTCACTTTCTTTCCTCTATATGACTCATTAACTTGAATTCCTGTCTCTCTCCAACAATTTTCCAATACAACAAATAATATTTTCTTCATCTTAATGTCAAATTAGAAGCTGTTTGATTTGCAAATAGGCCATTGCATTTGTTGTTTCTGTAGAATTCCTTTCAGCATTGATCCCCCCTGTCTGCTGCTTAAAAATGCAAAGTGTAAAAAAAAATCTATTCTTGAAGGTAAACTGTTGCTAATAGTAAGGCTGTGGTCATTAAACCCCTTATAACCTTTTAGTTTCTATTTAGAGAAAGCACATCACAATCATTGAGAAAACACACAACTTGTCACGCAACGTTCCCTTTTCCTGTCACTAATTGGTCCTCAGACAATGTTTACAATGGCTGTGGTACAGTTCATTTATCCTATAGCAGCAGTATAGACTTGAGTATGAGCACTTCAGTTTCTTTGTACTTTGTGTGCCATGCAACAGAGGTGCACGTGACCTCCTCAAATGCTGGCAGCAGACATTCAGCATGTCAGGCTTATCCACATGCTGGACTAATCTAATTAAAAGAATGGACATTTACTTTAAATGTACAGAGCTGGGAAAAGATAAATGAGTTTAACCTTTGTCCAACTGAAGACATCAACAGCTATCAAAAGTGCTGAGGTTTCCAAAGCCTTTAATTTTTTCCCTAACAGCAAGTAAGCTTTCAGTTGCAATAAACGAACATCTCAAATACACATCAAATGAGGATCTATAAATAATGTATGTCACACACAGTACTCAAACAAGGTAAATCGCACTTTGTTATTTTATTGTATTTATCTATTCTGTGCAATAGGGAAATACAAACACATCATTCATTTTAAAAATATTTTTTCTTGGAATTTCACTCAGCCCCCAGTTTTATGAGCCTAATTACAGTACACTGCAAACAAACATCATGAAACTAGTTCAGGTGGGTAGCTGCGTCAGCATGCGTAGGCTGCAAAGGAAAAAGTAATAGGTTTATTCCATGCTAAAAAAAAAGAAAGAAAACACAACGTTTCAGCCGTGGAGCCTTCCTCAGGTATTGTTGTACCACAATGCCTTAAGGAAACGTATATTATTAAGTATAACATAGCTCTTTTAAAAGCCAGAGACAGTATGATTTGCAATCATTTAGCATTTCTTTTACAACAAGCTTTATTTCCATATTCTTGTTGTAAGTGCAAGACATTTGTTTGGCACATCTAATCAAAGTTACTCAGTCTTGTGTACTACATTATGTTATGTGTTCAGTAAAATGTTAAAATAAATAAAATTGAGGATTGTGAATTTCTCCATTTTCTTTCTGTCTTTTGACAGAAAAATGCTCAGTTCTTTTTCTATGATTAATCAGCATTGCTGGAAGGTAAATCCTACATCTGTATCTGATTGTATCTAATCTGGGGGGGGGGTGTCACCATGCTCACTATTCCATTTAACGCTACAGAAACTGGGATGAGCTCTGAACCAATGAGCCACTATGGCCCTAGTTTGGACTTTACCTTTTTTTTTTTATTAATGAAAATGTCTTTTTTTTAACATTTAAACCAAAATCCGGGCCAATAGTATTGTGTTGAAAGAGGAAAAGGAATATGTTGCTTAGTTAAATGACAGATTGATAGTGTTGCTGCTTTGCCTGGCATGCATTTCCAGTCCCACTGCTGACAGGAGCCAGCAGGACCCACTGATAGGTATCACACTTGGGACTGATTGCTGCCTACCTGTGGGACAAGGCGGTCAAGCTGGGTGGCACGGTTCCTGTGGGACGGGTGGGTGGAGAGCCATTCGGGCATGCTGGGCTCCCCCTCCAGCCGATCCAAGATCTCCATCTGCTGCCAGAACACTGGCCCAGCCCGAACATCTGCACATGCCTGAGAGACAGGACAGCACTGTTTTAATGCACCTCCTCCAGTTAAGCATTGTTGTTAGTAACAGAATAAGCTCTATTACAGATGTGGTTTTCTATTTATATAAGCTGAACCACAGAGATCAAGGTACTGCTGACTATTACTTTCAGTGCTCTTTCCTCCTACATTTTCCTATCATGCTGAAAATCAAAGGATATCAGTCCTCAGCACTATAAAAGCTCCCACTGGAAAAAAAATGCCTGCAAAAATATAATAGCGGCTAAGGAAATACAGAACAGTTTAAGAGCATGTGTTTGAGTATGTTTCAAAAACTGGATGCGTAATGCAGTGATATATTTTCTCACTCTTGAAATGGCTACAATGACACACACCATTCCCTTTACCTAACACGCCATCTAGTGTCTGTTGAGCACAAAATATTTCATAGAGAATATCCCAAACAATCCAGAAAAACACTTTGCATTTATGACTATCTGATTTTGTTTAATGTTTTCTCTATTAGTGTGCACTGTTTTACTATAGAGAGTGCAGGGTTAGCTCAGCTAACTAGATCATTAAATGTGTTTTCACACAAACTGCTATAATACTGTTATAATACTGCAATCATACATTCTACATCTGGTTTTCTGGCTGTACTTAATTGGCACTCATGCATTAGTTCTTTTTTCTGGCACTGAGATCATTGTATGTTGGGGAATGAACTAAGCAGTCTGAATTCACATTGGAATGACTCTCTATTTCAGGGCTGGCAGCCCTGCCTCTTCCACTCTATTGGATTGAACAGGGTTTCTTTAACTAGTTCTTAATTATGCAACATATCTTCAGAACAAAGTTCAATTATGTAATTAAAGTACTTGACTGAATCCCTGCAGTGTCAGCCTGGAAAAGCCAATGATGCCTATTCCAACACAAAATCAAGAGACTTAGTTTGAACCGGAACAGAGGACCTCTGTAAAAGGGAACTGTGGCCTTTCTCTGTTCAGTGGAGCACAGAGCTTACTATGCCCCTGTACAGTCTGTATAGTCTGTTTGAGACTGACATTTGCTTCCATACAGGAATTATGAGAGCAACCAGACAAGCTCCTGGTCTAAAACAGGGACATCACAAGATTAACACCGATACCAGAATCCAATAACATTAGTGGAAGTATGGGAACATTCAGTACAAAAAACAAAAAAAGACACTTCCTTATAGACAGAATCCTGGAGGAACAAGCCGGTGTCCCTAGCCATGACACTGAAACTGTTCCCATGGGATCTTAAAGAAATGGTTTGATGGATGTCTTTGATCATTCACCTACCAAAAATCCAAGACACAAAATGGCCTCTCATTTGTAACCTTTATTATGACATGTGCAGGAAAGGGATGATGTACCTTAGCAGCCAGCTGAAGTCCTACTTTGTCAGCTTCTGCCTCCAACTTCCTGCTGTAGGGCCGCTCAAACATGAACTGCAGGGAGAGAGATAAGGGACAGCATGAGGGGGGGAGAACAGTAAATACTGCTAGCTACGTGAATGACCCAGTGTCTATAACATTTATATTCTTATTCTACTCCTTGGAGACACTGGAAGCTTTAATTTGTTTGGGAGCTGTTTTTGCATATCAAAGATTTTCTTGGTTAGCGGAGGCAACACAGAATAATCAATAAACCAAAAACATATACATGATTACTGACATAGTTCAAGTAGGTAGCTGCGTCAGCATGCGTAGGCTGCAAAGGAACAAGTAAAGGTTTATTCCATGCTGAAAGAGAAAAAAAGAAACACAACATTTCGGCTGTGGAGCACAGCTGAAATGTTGTGTTTTTCTTCTCTTTTCAGCATGGAATAAACCTTTACTTGTTCCTTTGATGACTGACACGCTGTCTTCAATGTGAGACACCTGATCTTATCAATGGGATATAGGCGTTATTAAAAATAATCGGCAACGGCACACACTTTTTCTACAGAAGATTCAATATAACTTATATGAGCTGTTACATTTATATATCAGATGTGTTAGTGTTTGGTAATGTTTTGTAGAAAGATTGTACTGTACTAAGGTTGCCTCCTTGTTGGCATAAAATACAGTTACAGTGAAAGAATTATGGAATGACACAATTGCTTCACTGGGGGGAGGTCTTTTTTGATCACCCGTCGTTTAGATAGTTACAGCCCATGAAAGAAAACAAAGAAATAAAAATAAACCGTAATTACAGTAGGACAGAAGCTTTTTTAGAACAAAGGAGCAGGGACCTCAAGGCTTCTCTGTGGCTCACAGCGGTTGCTATCTGAGCTGCATCTTGATTTTCCACGCTGAAGGCCATTCTCATTATAAAATACAGAACACCCACTGCTTGGAAATTTTTTCACAGTGTTTAATGTTCACCACCTTAGAGAATGTGGAGCTGAGTCACAAGCTGCATAAATAAATGGGGTCTGTAAAGTGAAGTGAAATTAAGCAGGAAAACTACGATTGAAACAGCAATACCTTGAGACAAGTTTAAAGACGTAACCAGCAAATTAAACTGTCTTACACACACAGACCAACACCATCCCCTTGAAAGCTGGAAACACTGTTGCTGCTGAAATGATGTTGCTATGAATTTTCCTTGAACACAGCATTCTGGTCAGAGCCAAGGACAGATTCCATTTCTCACAGCAGAGTAGAACCAGAATGGCACACAGTCTGCCTTGACACAGTATGACCTTTAATTGAAATATAATACATCCACAGGTTGACTATATAATACAGACAGGTTGACTATATAAGAATAAAACACAAAAAATAAATCAAATATGGGAAAAGAAATGCAAAAAAAATATTGAAAGAACATATGGTACTGGAAATACAAATAAGCTTTCCAACACTATGTAACTATGTAATATCTTTTCAGCAGGAATTCTCTGACATAGAGATAATCATCTCCCCCCTCTCTGTGTTCACAGTTATGTCCCCTTTTCATCTATTTTGTCCCCCTTTAGCACACTAGGGGATGACCAATTTAAATGTCAATTCAACATCTGAAGCTCGCTTCTTCAGTTGCAGCCTCCCAACTTCATCCAAAATTAAAGTCACTGCAGCATCTGGGGGAGCTACAGTAGTGGGCAGAGTTCATCCAAATCTTGAAGTTCTGCTACTTGTTTAGTTTAGATAATCTACTACCTCGGTATGGGGCCTTTGAGGTGAGGGGGTGAGGGAGAGGATACAGTATATACAGCCTGACTGAGCTGAGGTGACAGCGTCTGTCTCCGCCTCAAGCTCCTGAAGTTGCTGCTCAATGAGGAGGCAGGTGGATGATGAAGTGATAAAAGGAGCAGATGATTCATCTTGAGGCAGGGCACGCACTAAGCCTGACAGCGAACTAGCACAAGATAGATTGGTGGGGTGCTGATTAAATGGCAGAGAAGATTGAGTGAACACTGAGACACCGAGGTGGAAGAGCCATCCTAAAAGTCAGCTAGCAGTCTAAACACCTATGGACAAGTAGTAGGGCCAGACTTCTGTATTTTTAACTGATAGGAACTATTGCAGGTGGCACAGTGCTACAAGGTGATATAAAATTAAAATAACAGAGATAAAAATCATTTGTCTTCAGTGGGTGAGGTCTCCAGAACTCCAGAGTTTCACTGCAGGGGTGTTCTGTTCTATATTTTTATTGTCTTACCTGGACTAATTTGCCTTGAATCCACTGTCCCAAGACAGCCAGGCTATCCCGAGGACAAATGGCCCAGACTGCTGTGAGGAGGATGACTGAGAGGAAATCCACAATATGAGACATGCTGGCCTGTTCTGCCTTCAGACAAAAACAGAGCATGAGAGAGGAAAAGAAGGGAGGCAGCAGGTCCTTCCATACAGTTTCTCACTCCCTTTACTCTTACAGAACGTCTGTGACGTCTAGATCAGACAATATATTCAGAAGATAATGAAATTAAAAACAAAATGTTACAAACAAGTGCAGACCATTCATCACAACATGCTTGTGCAGTTGTAGTGTACAAGACAGGAGTGTTTAACTTACAGTATAAGTCCCTTTCAATCATATGATACGGTTGCAAGAAAAAGTTGAAAAAGTGAACCCTTTGGAATTACCTTGATTTCTGCATTAATTACTCAAATGTGGTCTGATCTTCTGCTAAGTCACAATAATAGACAAACACAATGTGCGTTAACTAATAATACACAAACAATTATACTTCTTCTTGTCAGTACTAAACACATTGTTTAAACATTCACAGTCTAGGTTGGAAAAAGTGTGTGAAGGCTAATGACTTCTCCAAAAGCTAATTGGAGTCAGGTGTTCCAATCATTGAGATGAGATTGGAGGTGTGGGTTGGAGGTGCTCTGCCCTATTAAAAAGACACACAAAGGTTGGTTACTGACAGAGTCTGCTCTTCTCAAGGAAGAGCTGTTCATGTGAACCATGCCCTGATCAAAAGAAATATCAGAGGACCTTTGAAGTAGAATTGTTGAGATGCATAAAGATGGAAAAGGCTTCAAAACATTTCTAAAGGCCTAGGTGTTCATCAATCCACAGTAAGACAAATTGTCTACAAATGGAGGAAATTCAGTACTGTTGCTATTCTCCCTAGGAGTGGGCATCCTGCAAAGATCACAGCAAGAGCGCAGCGTGCAATGCTGTAGGAAGTGAAAAAGAACCTTAGGGTAAAAGCAAAGGACCAGCAGAAATCTCTTGAACTTGTCAAAGTCTTTGTTTATGTGTCCACTATAAGAAAAACACTGAACAAGAATGATGTTAATTGAAGGACACCACGGAGAAAACCACTGCTCTCCAGAAAAAAACATTGCTGTATGTCTCAAGTTTGTAAAAGACCACCTGGATGTTCCACAATGTTATGTGGACGGATGAGACAAAAGTTGAACTCTTTGGCAGAAATGCACAACACTGTTTGTAGGAAAAAAAGCACTGCACACCAACACCAAAACCTCATCCCAACCGTGAAGCATGGTAGAGAGAGCATCATGGCTTGAAGCTGCTTTGCTGCCTAAGGGCCTAGACGGCTTGCTATCATAGAGTGAACTATGAATTCAAAATTGTATCAATAAATTTTACAGGAGAATGTCAGGGTAGCGGTCCATCACCTGAGGTTTAATAGAAGTTGGGTGATGCAACACGGCAATGACCCGAAACACAGGAGTAAATCAACAACAGAATGGGTTAACAGAAGAAAATTTGTGTTCTGGAATAGTTCCAGACCTCAACCCAATTGAGATGCTGTGGCATGACCTGCAGAGAGTTGTTCACGTAAATAATCCCAGAAATATCAATGAACTGAAACAGTTTTGTAAGGAGGAATGGTCTAAAAATGCAATCCGCAGCTACAGGAATCTTATGTTTGAGGTTATAGCTGCTAAAGGAGGTTCTACCAGTTACTAAATACAAGGGTTAACATACTTTTTCCAGCCTGGACTGTGAATGTTTAAACTATGTGTTCAATATTGACAAGAAGAAGTACCATTGTTTTTGTGTTATTAGTTTAAGCAGATTGTGTTTGTCTATTATTGTGACTTAGTTGAATATCAGACCACATTTTTATGAGTAATTAATGCAGAAATCCAGGTAATTCCAAAGGGTTCACTAACCTTTTCTTGCAACTGCATTTTGTTTAACACCTGGTGGTGCTTAATTGGTTCAGTGAACCACTGAAAACAACTAAGAGCACAGATGAAACAAGCAGAGTATTTTTCAGCCTTCACGGAGTGAATCTAACCAGCATGGCTGTGGCTCATGTAATTACCCACTCAAAAGTGCAAAACCATGATAAAACATAATCACTAATTTATAAATAATCATCCATTGTGCCCAAACTTTTAACTTCTTGTTAATTTAATTTGGGCATTTAAACAAAACCATTCCCACTCTCATTTACAATACACACAATAAAAGCCCTTTCTTCTAAAACTGAGATATACATAAAACTTCCTGTGCAGTACCATGATGCATTGCATAATACATAACAATCACCCTTTCAGTCAGTACCGAGATGTACAGCACAATAAAACTGACTTATTAAATACTGAGTGTGAAGTAGTTTACAGACACAGATCACATCATCAAGCTGTCATTTAATAGAGGGACACACAAAGCACCAAACAATCTCTCAAATTCATATCATGCATAGAAATATATATCAGATTGAATTCTTTTTAGTTAATATACAGTAGAAAAGTATAGAATGAACTGCACAGTTCATACTATGGAGTGTGCAGGTGGAGGGGAGTCCCCATTACCTGTAAAGCGCTATGAGTGGAGTGTCCAGAAAAGCGCTATATAAGTGTAAACAATTATTATTATTATTATTATTATTATTATTATTATTATTATTATTATTATTATTATTATTACTATATAGACACAACTGGAACTCCACAACCCTTTCATTCAATCACAGAAACACAAACATTATCAGCATCGTAGTACATTTGATATCCTGGAAAAGGATTTAGAAACATAAACAGTTATGAATATAGTATTGTAACACTGAATAACCCCCTCACATAATAAAAATATATCTTACTCCTTAGATCTGAGTTTCATTTGTTTATACATCTTATTCTGTTCCTATCCTTTAATTCATTTTAACTGAATGTGAATGATGTACAAATATGCTAAGTGTTTTTCAAAATATCACAAGCAACACGTCTTATGAAAGCAGAAACATTTGTGTTGCTGCACATGACATCAGCCATTTGACCAAATTCCAGTGTAGACTCTCTTTATAGGCCAGGATATGAGGTTAATGTCCACATATGACCAACAAGTAGCAAACATAATACAAAATAACCATACTACATACATAATTATTATATAAATAAGCATGTATTAAGATGAACACATAGGATACATAGGGTGGGGGACCACTCATTAAAATAAAGTCTGGGCAAAATGTCACACAACATGACATCTGTCATGTAAAGATCCAGACCACACTTCGGGTGTTTGTATCAGTGGGATTAAAATTGCAAGCAATCATTAAAAAATAACTTTTATTTCTGCATGTAAAACAGCAGGATTCTTTATTAAATTTCAGATTATGTGTTTATAACAGACCTTTTTCACTGAAGGTCTGTACATATAGGTGGGGATACCTGAGAAACAACTGTCCATAGGGTCGCTATGAGTCGATACAGACTCGACGGCACTCAACCACCACTTGAGACACAGCCACTCCTGTTTCTTGAAGAACCAGCTGAGATTTTTAGGACAAATGAACCCCATATACTGTATCTACTATATCTACATATATCAGCAGCCACATAACCCTGAAACTCACAACTGGCAACCCACTGAAGCTAAGCAGATGTGAGCCTGGTCAGTACCTGGATGGGAAACCTCCTGGGAAAAATAAGGTTTGCTTTTGGTAGACCAGCAGAGGTCGCTCCTGGGAAAAACTAAGGTTGCTGCTGGAAGTGGTGTTAGTGGGACCAGCAGGGGGCGCTCACCCTGCGGTCCATGTGGGTCCTAATGCGCCAGTATAGTGATAGGGACACTATACTGTAAAAAGGCACTGTCCTACGGATGAGACATAAAACCGAGGTCCTGACTCTCTGTGATAATTAAAAATGCCAGGGTGCTTCTAAAAAAAGAGTAGGGGTATAAACCCAGCATCCTGGCCAAATTTCCCATTTGGCCCTTACCAATCATGGCTTCCTAATAATCCCCATCTATGAATCGGCTTCATTACTCTGTTCTCCTCCCCACTGAGAGCTGGTGTATGAGGAATGTTCTGGTGCACTTTAGCTGCCATTGCGTCATCCAGGTGGATGCTGCACATTGGTGGTGGTAGAGGGAAGTCCCCATGGATTGGAGTGTCCAGAAAAGTGCTATATAAGTGTAAGAAATTCTTATTATTATTACTACTCATTAAGGCATATATTATATATCTATATATGACAGTCTTCCTTGTATTATGCAACAATGAAGTGAGCTGAGGAAGCACTTTGGATCATGTATCTAAACATCATTAGACCCCTTAGATACTGGCTTAAAACTTACTTAAATTACATTATGCAACACTAATATTTAAACACCAGAAATGATACAAGCACTAAGATGGGGGATGCAGACCTTAAAATGATGCAAATTCCCTCTGAAATCAAATCACAGACAGTGAAGGCACAAGTAACACAAGGGGTTTGAAAACTAACTGATAAGTTAAAATGTAAATTACCTTACTCATAAGGGTCACTGGCTTTTTAAACAGGCCCTACAAGTGATCCCAGGGGAGTAACAGTATATGAAGATCAGCCTTTTTTTGCTCACTAAATCTTAGAAACACACTGGCAAACCATATGTGAGCATGCATAGACCACACAGATACACACCCACATGGTTAGTCAAGCAGCACAATGAACTTGACTGGTTGTACTTACAGAGTGTCCGATGATTGCGTGTGCCATTTCATGCCCAAGAATGAATGTCAGCTGATGAATGTCAGCAACAGCCTCCAGCATTCCGGTGAAGATAAAGACCCGTCCGTTCTGTCAAAAGCCAGAGCATGCTGTGGTGTGTCAGAACATTCAGCTGCCACATTTAGTTTTTGCTGTACCATAACCAATTGCATTTCTGCATGGCCTTAGGACTTTACATCGTGTTTTTTCATAGTCTGTAAATAAATGTAGTCCGCACTCATCTGTTTTGAAAATGTAAAACAAGATGAAAATGGTAAAAAATAAAATATGACTCTTGTGGAGCTACTACAATTTTTGGAGGAAGATGTTTTCTGCATTTCAGTTCTTTTTTAACTTGTCAACTTTATGTTGCATCAGAACATGGGTTCGGCACTCACTGTTCTGCAAAAAAGCAGATGTTTTTGAGACATTTTCACCACAGACAAAGCATCAGCAGGAAAAAGTCACTGTTACGTTTTTTCACCTGCAATTGGAAATTGAACAAAAATGTAAAAAAACAATTGCAATTCTGTATTCTTATCATCCACCACAGCCACTGATATCTCCTGCCACAGTAAGACATGCCCATGAATGGGATCTGTGAACCTGCCTTATTTCAATTTCACTCTGACTTACCGGAAGAACAAAGGCATTGACTGTGGGGTCTTCCACCACTTGGACAGTCCAGGGGAGAGCAGACATTTCAGGAAGGTCCCGGTTTCTCTGCACCAAGTGACTGACAACAGTCTCCACCACCTTATGCCGTGGATCATCTCGGGACACCAGAGTATCCTTGAATTCCTCCATGTACTGTTAATAAAATTTGGGAACTGAGTGTACTAAGCTAGGGTCAACTTACTGACCAAGTTTTACCACTTTTACACACAGATCTAAGCAGCCATTTTCCTCGACTCCTCCTATAGCTTCCAAAAAGCTCATATATTGTATCTTTAAAAGTGTTAGCTGTATATAATTAGTCACTATATATAATATATAATTTTTAACTAAAGCAATATAGCGATTAGAATTTAAAATACAAATGAAAAACTGTTGATGCAGACACTATTAGGACCTTGTTTTCATCTCAGCTAAAGACACCGCAAGTTAAATTTCCTTTTACTTTTCTGCTTTAAGTGTTCCTTGAGTTCAAGGGTGTTGTACAAAACAACTTTACCCATTCATGCCAATTGCATTGTTAAGGGAAAGTGTACTCTTATTTAATACATTGAAGATCAAATATTTGTTTGATCAAAACAAGGACTTGAAATGCGATTTTCCAATATCAAGGGTTCAGGTTTCAAACTAACACAACCTCCAGTCAATCCTGAATGTGTTCATTGTTAAAACAAGATCCTTCATAAAGTAGTTTAAGTATTACTTGACACTTCAATAAACATTTCATTATTTCTAATGACAACTTGTCAAAGGTCACTTTAGCTAATTGCATTAATAAAGTAAAGTCTTGGATGTGTGAAAATGTTTTTTCACTCAACTGTGATAAAAGTGACATTCTGTTGTTTGGAGGCAACAGTGTGGATAGGACTGCTATAACCTCAGCACTCAACTCTGAGGGTTTAAAATTTTGCCTTAAAGATTTGGCATGTAACTTAGGCATCATCTTAGAAACAACGCTCTCATTTAACTCTCATGTTAATGCAATATTGAAGGTGTGCTTCCTACAGTTAAGAAACATTGCAAACCTAAGGTATTATCTTTCCACTCAAGACACAGAGAAACTAATAAATGCTCTGGTATACAGCAGATTAGATTACTGTAATGCTCTACTATCAGGGAGCGCCTATCGCACCTTCAACACCTTACAGTGAATTATTACAGCTAGAATTATTACCAGAAGTAGAAAGTATGACCACATAACACCTATACTTATCTCTCTCCATTGGCTTCCTGTTAGGTAGACTTCAAAATTATTTTACTTACTTATAAGGCTTTCAGAGGTCAGACACCTGTCTATTTAATGGAGCTGACTAATGTATACAATCCAAGTTGCCCACTTAGATCACAGAATGCAGGTCTTCTTCTTATTCCACATATTAATAAAAAAACAGTTGCCGGTAAAGCCTTTAGCTACAGGTCCCCTAATTTATGGAATAGTCTGCCAGCCTACATATGGGATGCGGAGTCAATCTCAGGATATAGATCCTGATTGAAAACATATTACTTCAGCCTAGCCTACTCACACCTTACATCATAGCTCATTGCTGCTGGTCCTGCTGTACATGCCATTTTGTGTCTCGGTGTTCGCCTTCCAGGTAGATACATCTGTTCTGACCAAACTATCCTATTCTCCTCCCCACATGTCCAGATGGTGTCCAGCTCGGGCACCATCTGAGTTGGATGCTGCATCACTGCCATGGATCCAAAAGGGACATTGCGAATACAGCTATCGTTTAGGTTCCTCTCCTCCATTGTCTTCTGGCTTTTAGTCTTTCTGTATTGTAATGTCATGTCTTGTCACACAGCTTTTTTAAGTGCCTTGTGGCAACCTTGTTGTGAAAGGTGCTATATAAAAATAAACTGAATTAATTTGAATAATACTACATTTACATTTATTCTCATTGACTACATTTATATGCAGTTATTAAAATAAACAGAATATGTTTGTTTGGACTTGGAATGGAAAGGGTTCATTTACATGAATGAAGGATTTGCTACCCAAGTATCTTCCGTACCTAAATGATGCTTATTTTTTAAATGGAATACTTCATACCAACGTGTATCACACAGTAAAATATTTTAATAGCTTCTATTTTGGTTATGAAAAATAAAAATGTTTCCCCAGAGACATTTTTAAGCTTAATTGCATGAACAGTGCACTACTTACAGCACATCAGCAGCAACAATTAGCAGTGCTTCATGTACAACACTGCCTCATCTGAACCACAGGTTTGCAGAAGAAAATGCTAATGTTCTGGCTTACTTCATGTTCAATTTGCCACCTCTGTCTTTCCATTTGCTAATGTTTTTGTGTGACCGGTATATTCAGATGACCAAAAGTATCAGTATAGGGGTATTCTTAATAAGGTGATAAAAAAAATCAGCTTTACTCAAAAATCACTTAGTATCCCAGTAGTAACCTGGGATTAATATGGGAATAACATATTTGAGTTACTGCTATCCAGTTTACTTTGACAGGTTCTCAGAATTTAAATGATAATGCTCACTCATTCTGGGGATATAAATGAATAATGGAACATATTATCTGTGTACAACTCTAAAGTAAAAAAAAGACAAGAAAAAGTAATAACCTGTGTGATCAAGTCTCCAGGAGTAGGAATGGGAAACAAAACCAGTGAATCCAAAATTATGTTCTGAAGACCCCTGGAGTCCTTATACACTCTCAAGTGAGGTCCCCAAAAAAGTCTTAAAGTAATTCACCCCCAGAAATCCTAATAAAAGAGTCTGGAATACATTTACTGAGACTCTTTTACCCCCCAGTACTGCTGTCAACATTTTACTGAAGTGGCCTATTTAATTCCCCCCAAGCCAGCCCATTCCCCTCTCACCCCCTCAGCAGTCAGCTCAGCCAGTTCAATAAACTTGTCTCTGTTGAAGACCAGGAGCCGCATCCGACTGGTGATGGGCGACTCGTCCAGGTGCGTGAGGAGGAAGAGTGCCAGAACTGCCACGAGCGCTGCTATGCCTGCCGCAGCATGCCAGCGCTTCCTCCACAGGGCCTGGCGCAACATCTCCTGCCGGTTCTGGGGTAGCCCGGCCCACCACTTTCGGATACTCCTGTGGACAACCCCAAAGGCACAGGTCTGCATTGCCACAAGTGCATGGTGACTGACATTACAAGCAACCAAGAGCTCAGAGATAGTGTGTCAACTGGCCAGAAGATATTTTAATTTTAAAGCTTCACCCTCAAAGAAATAAATGCAATCTAAAAAAAAATTAAATCCACCAGCCACTTCATGGGGTTGTCACAAACTCCATGACAAAGAATAACACTTGTCCAAGTCCTTAAGTTATTAAATGCAACCTCACTTAAAATGGAATTTCTCATTCATAAAAGGACCATTCCGACAGCCATAGCCTACAGAGAAACCTGGCTCTTCCTTAGTCTTTATCTACTGCTATTTTGTTTTAATGAGAGATGTTAACACATTGTTAGGAGACACATGCTTCACTGTCCTTATACAGTATAGTCCCTTAGACAGGTGTGTTGCACTATGGACTTCAAGTCTTTGCAATGCAAAAACATATTTTTAATTAATAAACCTGACTGACCTGATGGAAACTGTGACAGACATACAGTATGACTCATACATGCCTTCAGGTCAATTCATTCTAGATTTTGCTTCCATTAACAAAACAACGTAATTCTATTATATACAGTGGGTATAGAAAGTCACCAACCCCTTTCAAAATGTTCACCTTTTGTTGCCCAAAAAGCCCAAAAAGAAGACAAATTAAATCAGACTTTTTCCAGTTTTATTTACAAACTGTACCTTCCAACATCCAAGTGAAAAAAGAAAGCAAAATTTCTAAACAAAAAAAATAAACAAGTAGAATAACTGGGTTGGATAAGAGAACACCCTCCTGAGTTAATACTTGATGGAAGCACCTTTTACTTGAATTACAGCCGTGAGTCTGTTTGGATACATCTCTACCAACTTTGTACAACCAGAGGGAGGAATATTTGCCCATTCCTCCTTACAGAATTGTTCAAGCTCAGTCAAACTGCGTGGCGACTGTTGATGGACTGGCCTTTTCACGGCATTCCAAAGATTTTCGATTGGATTTAGTTTGGGGCTCTGACTAGGCCACTTACCTTCCTGTATTTCAGCCACTGTATGGTTAGTTTGGTGGTGTGCTTTGTGTCACTGACATGTTGAAATGTGAACCATCTTCCCATTTTCAACTTCCTGGCTGAGGGCTGCAGGTTTTCTTCAAGACTTTGCCTGTATTCTGCACCATCATCTTCCCTTCTCTCCTGACAAGTGCCCCAGTCCCAGCTGAAGAGAAATACCCCCACAACAGGATGCTGCACCACCTTGCTTTACTGTAGGAATGGTGTTCTTCGGATGGTAAGATGTATTGGGTTTTCACCAGATGTATGGTTTTGCATTCTGGCTAAAAAGTTTGATTTTAGTCTCATCTGACCACAGCACTTTTTGCCACTTGGCCACAGAATCTTTAAGGTGCTTTTTAGCAAAACATAAACAAGACTTGATGTGGCTTTTTTTAAGGAGTCGCATTTTTCTTGCCACCCTCCCATACAGGCATCTCTAATCAGTCTCCTTCTTGCTCAGTCATCCAGTTTGGATGAACGGCTTGATCTAGGCAAGGTCGGGGTGGTGCCATACGCCTTCCACTTCTTAATGATGGCCTTCAGCTGCTTTTATTCTGAACTAATCACCACAATTGATCAATTGATTAGTTTGTTGTGTGATGTGTAAGGTGATTGGTTAAACATGAGCAAGTTTACAAATGCAATTGTAAGGGGGGTGTTCACTTATCCAAATAAGGTATTTTACTGTTGTAATACTAATTAATTTTATTTTCACTTGGCTAATGTGGGTTACTGTGTGTAAATAAAAATGGAACAAGCCTAACTTAATTTGTTTTTAATTTCAGAGTGTCATACAACAAAAGGTACACATTTTGAATGGAGGTGGTGACTTTCTATACAGACTGTACTTTCACTTTGTGGCTCACTGGATTTGACACTCCCCCATATTGGGATGCTGCCTGCATCGTATCAATAAAAGACAGAAGGCGTGTAATAACTTCTGTACCCCATCTGTTTAGAATTTGCCTTCTGTTATGAAGATGTAAATCCCTCAAAGACACACCATGATTTTCAGTAATGAAGCCGAATAGTGTAAACTGAAAAACATGAAAACAGGCAGAAATTCCCAGTTTATCTCTATACTCTGCAAATGTCCTAAGAAAGATGAAGCTAATAAACTTATATAAATCATGTGTATTTTTCCTGTTAACAGCATTGTTATGTAATTGTTTGTTTGGGCAAAAACATAATATGACAGTATGATCTCATACTAACTGTACATGTGACTTTGCATACTGTTGAAACACTGTGTAGAAACATTGAAACACCTTGTTACCTGCCCAGTATGATAGCCAAAAGCTTCTGAAGCGGTTTGATGATCATCCATACGAGCGGAACAGGCAGGGCTCTGTATGACGCTGAGGTGTGGAACTGCTGACAGCAAGGCAGGCCGACCTGCAGGGTGATACTGCAAACTGATGGGATGCATGTGTACAGGGTTCTCTGATGGCCAGCACTGACACTGAGAAGTCTGGGTTTGATGCTTTTGCAGAGAGCCAAGCGAATTGCACACAGCGTCCCCAGGTCCTCACTGCCTGCTAATCCTGTCTGTACCTGCAGCCACGGCTGCAAATTATTGTCTCTGAAAATATCTGCACGTCTGCCTTGGACGGACAGGGAGAGAGTGCATTTCTTCTGTTTGGAAAGACATGTTCTATATCCCTTCTGCCAATTGTTTCTACAAGCCAGTAGATAGCAGAGTCTTTTACTTCTTAAAAGTCTGATGCAGAAAAAAGCCATCTTCTGCTTCACAGGCACACTGACATCTCGAAACCTGCAAGTAAAAAGAGGACAAAATGTAGTGGATTGCTGGCAACAGCCTCATGAGAACAGGAGAAGAAAAACTGTAGAACACTCACAAGAAGTGAAAGCTCAAAAAAGCTAACAATAAGCCTTTGTGCTATAAAATGCTAGTTTGAGTGAGTATATGACTTAGAGCATAAGTTTACTAATAAATTAATACAGGCATGCGAGGTTCAAAATATTTCATGTAAGAAACATTCTAAAGATTTATCAGCATACAAAAACAACCAGAGCTTAGCATAACATATTAAACTAGGTCATCTACGGATCTACACTATCTTTTCACATTAAGGGTGTAATCCAAGGTATAATGCATGTACATAAAGATCTATATAACAGTATTGATGTGCCTCAGAAATGTTCTTAGCTAATTGACAACGAATAGACAGAGAGAACACATACAGATGTTGTACAGTATTAAAAATCAAAAGACTGAAAGATGAAAACAGACGTTGTTTAGCGCTTTGTTTATGCTAAACAAGAGCTGATCGACGACAATAGGGATCCTAATACCTTATCTGGACCAAAACAGTGTTTGTTCACTAATATGACCTTTTTTGTCAAATATCATAAAAAGTATAATTTATGTTTTCCTGTTCGATTTCGGGACGATCAAGGGTTTGTTACGTTCTTCTTAGTGTGTTTTTTTTTACTTTATTTAGTTTTTCATTCTATATCATACATTTGAAAAAATCAAACCTTTGAATGCGCTTATATAAATGGAGGTAATTATACATGTTAAGATGATTAGAACGTACAAGTAATTTCAATGTCAACTCACCTTAACAGTTTAATTACTTTCTCAAGTACTACCAGGAGAGTGTGCAAGACCTGACCGACAGATGAGGTCGTTACTCGAGTTGATCTTATACCTCTCGTTTAATCTTTTCTGTAGGATACACCGATTTATTATCATTGTGCAAAAATATATTCACTTTCCCGAACAATTTTTTCTTTAATCATGTTGGCATGTTGTATTTCTTTCTAGGATGTTCACAGTACTTCCGGCTCCTACACTAGTTCAGGGAGATAAATCAGAGAACTTGTGTAACACAGAACTCTGTCCCCCCTGCTGTCCCCCCTGCTGGACTTTGTAACACAGATGTTATAGACACAGACGCACAGATTTAATATATCGTATTACCTTATTAAAATGCGTACATTTAAGTAACATTTTAGGTATTAGAAATAAAAAAAACACTGTTTAAAGTTCGCAACAAATAGCCTTATCTGTCACGCAGGATACATGACTCAAGTAAACCACCTATGTCACAGACATAACTAGGGCTCTGTATTTAAAATATTTCGGCACTAAAATTCATTTTAGTTTTTTAGAATTTTAAAATTCACAAATGATAGGAAATGTTTCCGTGTCTAGTGCACATGCTGCACTGCAGGCTGAATACATCTTCATTATGCAATACAGCAAGTACAATACCAGTAGCAGGTGAGAAAGACTGAGGAATACTAGGACCTGGTGGTTTTCGTGGTAGTGTTCGGAAAAAGATGGAAGTACATCTTCCCTTGTATGTTTTCTTTCAGTTTTCCTCTTGGTGTGTCCAGCGGTTATATGAAACTTTTTTTTTTCATATTAAAAAAGGCAGACGAACAAAGAATTGGACGTGTGATTTAGAAAATAATATTTTGTTCCAGGAATACATCATGGTCTCCATAATGTACATAGCATGAGGCCAATAGCACATCGAGCACAGAGTGAGCATTGAAGTGTTTTGATTTTTAAAGAGTTTGATGCTTCTCAAAATGTAAATAGTGATGTAATGTTATTGAAACAGTATTATAAATGAAAAGAGAGTAATACATGTTAAAAGTTTATATTTATATATATATTAAAGCTTATTCAATATTTAAAATAACAGTTCCATCGACAGCTACTTTCTGTTTTGTGCTGCAAGAGAAGCAATGTGCTTTTTTTCTTTGGTGGAGATACTGCTATATGTATTCCAGAAACACAATGCACAACTCCTTTACATATGGAAAAGCAACATAAATTTACATAAGCTAACGTCAGTATCATGGGCACATTTGTCTAAGTTACTTTTCAAATCATTCAGTATTTATACTTGTTTAGGGTTTTGTAGGTAACATAGTATGTGTTGTCCAGCTTGAAATTGTTAACAAAACAATTATTATTCTACATACAGTACCTGCCATCAAATGTCCATCAAAGCCTCAATTCACTGTTCAAAAGGACTTGGCTTCACTGCAGATGAGTCCGTCCGAGGTGTTGCTCCAATACGGTAGCAATAAGCCATTGTTCTCTTTGTAATAATTGCTTACACTTATGAAGTGCTTTTCTGGACATTCCGCTCAAAGCACTTTACAGGTATTAGGGACTCCACTCCATCACCAACAATGTGCAGCATCCACCTGGATGATGCGACAACAGCCATAGTGCGCCAGAACACTCACCTCACATCAACTATTAGTGGGGAGGAGAACATAGTTCATAGATGGGGATTATTAGGAGGCCATGATTGTTAAAATCCAATGAGGAATTTGGCCAGGTCACCAGGGTTACACCCCTACTCATTTTCGAAAAACACCCTGGGATTTTTGAATGACCACAAAAAGTCAGGACCTCAGATTAACATCTCATCCAAAGGACAGCACCTTTGTATTGTATAGTATCCCTGTCACTATACTGGAGCATTAGGACCCACACAGGCTGCAGGGTGAGTGCCCCTTGCTGGTCTTCCAACAGCAACCTTATTTGTCCCAGGTCTGCCATCCAGGTACTGACCAGGCTCACATCTGTTTAGCTTTAGTGGGTTGCCAGTTGTGAGTTGCAGGGTGATATGGCTGCTGGCATAATAGCCATATTACTTCCATTCTTTTTTTCTTTGATTTCCTTTTTTCTCACTAATAAGATGATTTATTGCTTATGCAAATTATAGCCACTAAAATACATCAAGTGTCATCATGATTGATAAATCAAAATGAAGACCAAAACATTTATCCAAAATACTTTTTCTAAAACTATGCATGCAGAGAGGATTAAGTTTCTTTTGTTACCCCTCCTTTCTTTTTTTGTGAAAAATATAGAAAGATTATAAAGAAAAGTAACAGTTTTTAAATGGCTATTTTTCTCTCTACTATTATTATACTGTCTACAGACGCCATGCTGTTAAATCATGAGGGAGATGTATGCAAAGTACACACCTGCCACATGTTAATTACACATATCATTAGCTGAAAGAATGCAAGAGAAATTACTTGATTTTTTCTTGAGGCTTTCCTCTACCAGGTGTTGATAATTGCAAAGTACAGTCTTTAGTGAATGAGGCTCTAAGTGTACAGGGCCCCTATGTTTAAGCTTTCTAGAATTTTGTGAATAGTTCTTCAGATTTCAATATAAAAAACCTAATAAAGATTTGATTTGAAAATTAATTCAAAAGAACAAGATCATATTATTATAAATGGCAGTAATGTTGTGAATTGCACAATAACATTTCAGCATGCTTTCTTCTGCTCGTAATGTAATTGATTTCAAGGGAACACACATTAGGGTCACTATTTTCACCTCCATTCAGCTGATTCAGAGTCACGTAAATGATTCATCAATCTGGATACCCAATAAGAAAGGAGCAAGCTGACCAAGTATTTTTTATGTCTATTTTTTAACCATTTTTGCTGCCGTCAAACCTGCTGCTCATTTAATATCTGCTCAACTGCCCACTTAATCAATCTCTCTTTTAAAACCGTTTAATTCCCTGCAGACTGGAAGTACTCCTTTGTTCAGCCTCTATTCAAAGAGGCAGTAAGTCCAACCCTAAAAGAACCCATATCCATTTTTCTTAGCTTTGTAAGCATGGAAAAAATTGAAAATGCACGTTTTTCAAATATTTTATTAATTTGTATTAACAGATATTTGGCTCTGATATTATATAATGTCCAGAATTATCAGTGATAATACAGAACTTAGATATACAAAATACAGAAGAAATAGTGCATGCCCCCCCACCTGTAAATACTGGTATTTATCTTATAAACCACAGATGGCAAACTGAGAATTTTCACCATGCATGATAACCTACCCCAAGCTTCTCTCCCTGTCTGTGTGTCTCATGGAGAGCAAGTTGGGGTATGCAAAAAGATAAATTCCTAATACAAGAAACTGTATATGGCCAATAAAGTGATCTTATCTTAACCTACATAACACTTTTCTTAAAAGGTATTAATACTGGAAAGAAAATATTTAATATAATGAACCTATTCTTATATATAGGATTTATTTGTTGCACCCTAGTTCCCTGGTGATTACTATATGTAATCTGGACATTGTCCTCTGCCAAACACATGTATTTAAGTAACCTAGTCAGATGCTCTGGTGGAATCCTTTTCCACTATCTGAAAAACTGGGTCGACATGGTTGCTCAGCAAAATTCTTTAATTCAGTGTTGCACTGAAACCAGATGAAATCTTACAAACTAATGGGAAAAGTGTATCCACATCATCACGTAAGCAAAGTGTATAGTTCAAGAACAATGATGGAGGTGAAAACTGAACCAGAGGCAACAATGGGAAGGCCTGCCTGCAGCTCTGTGGTGTCTCACTGGGCTGGCTAAATTATGGTGATAAAAGGCAGAAAATACTTGTATGTTTGTTTGTATCTACTGCATAATATCAAAAGTGCTGTGTATTTTTCTTAACTATTTAAAATGTAAAATGGTCAGCAAATATGGTTGCCTTTATATTGACAGTTATACTGTTCATAATATTCCCCTACGAACATTAAACTATATAACAGGACAAATAGGGGAAGATAGTGAAAGTCCAAGTTACACAAATAAGTAATGGCTGGGTTAGTAGGAAAAATCCACAAATTTATAAATATGGAGGGAGGGCCAGAGGTGGAACATATTTTCACAGATATTAACAATACTACACCTACTCAGTGCTAGGTGTCTGTACATTATAACTTGTGGGTTCTATTTCTTGTGTTTCTGTGCTCTTGCTTTCAGCTGCAAACTGTGAGAGGAACAGAGTCTCAATCTGGGCCAGGAAACTGGTCACGGTGGTGTCCTGAAGAAACTCCAGAGACTTTCGCATTGAAGCCAACATCTTGGTAAAAAAAATCACAGAACAAAAATAATGCATAATGCAAAATGCTTAGAAAGTCTGGGTTTCTTTATAAAATGCATTATGTGACACTATTTTATCATATAACAGAGCTTGTATACAAAGCAGCCAAAGTTTCAGTTACTTACTTTCTCTAAACAGGTAAGATCAGAATCCCTATGGAAAAGCCTGTCCATTGGTACACTTCTGCAAATAAAATAATAAAATGTTACTGTCCTACATCTTCTCTTTTGAATTAAGTCATTAATGCACAATTTGCATTTAGTACCCCTTTCTATTTATATATTAAAACAGAATTAAAGCAATATCTCATGGGAAATACAATAAAATATATTGTTAGCAACCAACACTAGTATCTGAAAGATTTATTTTGCAAATATGGATCACTGTACATAGTGGAGGTTTATCTTACCCATGTGACAGTCTGTACTTCTCAATGATCCACTCTGCCTTCTTCAACACCAGAGACCAATCTGGCTCCTCTGAAGAATGGTGAATTTCAAATTTAAAAGGAAGCTCTGTACCACAACAAAAGAAATATCCTGAATGAATCTACCTCCAGATGAATGTTACATATAAACCAAAGAAATAAAAAGGTACTGCTTGACATGGCACACATCACCAACTGCTAAACAATGTTTTAGGGAAATTATTCAGTATTTTGTCTAAAGGGTGGGAGAAAATATTGAAAAACAACCATTTAATGTTTTCTCCTGCCCTGTTGTTAGTCGTTGTCTGTAAACTGTGTTCCAACTCTGCATTCAAAAATTTCAATAATGCTGGGAAAAGGTCCTCATACTCTTTGGAGTGTAAGCCTAGATATGCACACTGAAACAGACACACATGAAGTGCACAGTGAAGAGGCTTCCAGGCACTGAAAGAACGTACTGTGTAAGCCGATGGGGCTGAGCTCCTCACTCACAACGAGACAAGTGACCTGGGAATGTGGAGAAGTGTTGGTGGGATTATAGGGACTGATGATCATTCCTATAAACTGAGCACCTCCTCTGAAGAAGTAACTCTGAAAGAAGAAAACAAAGACAACTCAGAAGGGGATGCATGTACCACAGAAAGATTAGTCTTGAAAACATTTTTCCAAACTTACCTGTATTTTACCCTCGATTAACCTCGCTAACAAGGCAGAAACAGTCTTCCTAAACTGCTATTACGTCTAAATATTGTACATTAAACATAAATCTGTATTTAAAAATCCCAACTATACCATAAAGAATAAACTCTCACCTGAAATTTGGTCTGTGTATCAATGTCTCTGAGGGAGGGATCTGGGTCGAAGGCAGGGTGAGAGTGGTACCAGCCCACAACATTGTACCCTCTCCCTGCTAGCGCCTCAGAGGCCTGGGTCTGAGAGACTGGATCCATCTCACACTGCAGCCCGGTGCTTAGGCTGTTACAAGGCTCTGCGGCACATATCTACAGAACAGTGCACAGCAACACACTCAGATACATACAACGGATAATCAAATTTAAAGTTTGATTTGCTTGACTGTAGCAGTTTTAATATAATTTCCCCAATTATTTTCTTTCCCAAATGCCTTAAATTCTTTGCAATTTTTATTTCTCCTTCCAGTTAAAATGACATGGTTTTGGAGCAGTGTTTCCCAATCTGTGGTCCCTATTTAAACTTCAGGTGGTTTTTAGCTGTAAAAATCTAGTTAAACATTTTAATTACAATGTTCTACACATAAGTCATTCCATTTCTAAATTTTAGTAAGAACCACAAATAACTTGAAAATAGTATCATAATATATGAACACGCTGTATTTTTGTAGGTTTTCCAATATATCTATTGGGTTTATGTCAACAATATACATGTGTAATCCAGGAATTATACCTGGATTTTCTGTGATGCACAGCTTTCAAAGCCAACATTGAAACAGCTCCAATTCACATACATTTATATATATATATCATACAAATTTAAAGGTGTCATCAAAACTTTTTATTTTTATTACACATTTTTAAAAGCAATTTAAAGATAACACTTTTCTAAATACAATGCCTTCTACTGTGCATGGAAAAAAACAGCTAACAGCATGAACAATTTTTAAAATATTTACAGAAGAAAACCACAGTATGAGCAATGCATTGGAGAGAAAATAAGACAGAGAACTTAGGTTAAGAACACTTGCACATTAAAGCATACATCTAATAATAAAGTCCACTCCTCCACACTCATGAACATCTTCCAGGACAACAGCTAATTCTCTTTTTGCTAATGTCTCTTTTATTTATTACGATCAATGTAATATCCATTACAGTTTCAGCATGTCCATCCTGACTACCAAAACAATGGGCACTCTAAAAAAGGCAAGCAGTTTGCAAGAGGTCCACTAGGAAAATGCTAGGAACCAGTTATGTGGCTGGCAACAAAGACAGGCAACCACATTTTGATTGATATTTCAACATAAATATAGCTTAGTGAAATCCTGACTCCTCACCTTGAGAACCCTTGTGCTTTCAGTGTATCCTCCTCCAAGCAGCCCAATGACCTCACCCATGGACACATGAGCGTGCTGTACATGCAAAGTAGTCACACACAGGGTCAGTACTCATCTGATCAATACACTCTTATCTCACAGCCACCTGACACAGTGCTAAACCCTGTGTCATTTGACAAAGTATTTTTCTCTTATCGTAAAAGGTTAGACTTTAGAGGACACAAGACTAAAACAAAGCATTCTGGTTAAAACCTCCATCACTGAAGGTTCTAAATTTAAAACTCATATGCTGCTTCTTTTTTAGAGAAAGCTTTGAAGTGACTATTGTGACTTAATATGGGACAGAATGGCCAAAGAACTTCCCACCATTTTCTTCTGAGGGACCTGCCCAGCAATGTAATTGAGGACAAAGGCAATGTGGGGAAGTTAAAGAATTCCCTTTATAACCTTTAATGCTGAATTAGTAAACTTATTGATAACCTCACTCCTAGATACCTCTGCCACAGTTTCAGCCATCCTCTACCCAACACACTGTCAAGCTTTCTCCTTCCTTTTCCCAGTACTGCGATTTCAAAATTAGTTCCCCCAATTGTGGGATGAAGAAAGAGAAACCTAGTGTTTTGATAGTACACCGATCAAGATGAACAGTACACAAGATTTTTTGCTTCTTCAAATATTTCGATTTTTCTTTTCATATACCCATGTGGCTTACAAGCTACCCAACAACTAGTATCTTGTGTTGAGACTTAGGTATCAAGTGGATAAGATATTTGTTTATTTTATGCAGGTCTAGCAGTCAAAAAGGGAAACCTAACCTTTGTTTTCTCTAAACTGTGTTACACTGTTACACTTTTGGTCCACTAGGTGAATCCCGACAAATATTTCATCACTAGCATTCATAAGTAGTCTGGCTTGTGGTCTGTCCCAGTTCGGCAATGGTAAAATGATGCAACAACCCTAGTCCTGTGCTACACATTCATGGTCCAATAATATAGACATACATCATAAAATCACTATATGTACTTATTAGTAATATATGACGTACCATATCCATAACAATGAGTGCTTCTGCAGACACCACCACCTGGAAAGGCTCCTGAAAATAATTTAGTTGGTAAGCACACATAATTTGTGGAAAGATAAATGTTCCATTTTCAAACTAAATAAAGGTTACCTGCTTTTCCTCTCCAAAAGACTGACAGGGAATTAGTTGGAAAGGGTCAAAGGTACTGAAAGAATAAAATACAACATTAGAGTACTGTCAAGAGTGCCTGGCTAGTGAGAGATACAGTTGCCGAGCTCTAGCTAGCTTGGAACTCTTTGAATGACTAAATGGACTGAAACCACAGTCTCTGTGCACAAAACATTATTGTACAAACAGAAGAAAATTTAGATCTTCCTGCGTAACTAACATTTGAAACTAGAGGTTTTAAATACAAATCAAGACTTGTGTTGAAAAGTGCATTTAATATGGCTTCCAGTAATTCAAACTAAGCAAGTTAATTTCAAACTAAGCAAGTCACCTTGACTAGTTTCTTTAAAGTCATTCGATTTTTCCTTTTTAAACAAATTAAATAGAACATCTAAAGTATTTTCTTTATCTCACATAAAAAATTAATTATGTTTAACTCATGGAGGACCTCGGTTTGGTCCTTAAACTTGAAAATGTGCTGCAAGCCTGCATGACAGTGAGTCTTTGCAAGGAGAGGTCTAATATACCCTTTGGTTTGTCGTGGAACTTTACTGGGCTTGGGGAGTCTTCTCTTGTTCTCCTCTCTCCTCCTGGCAAGTTCCTCAGCACTCAGGTGCTGGTAAACAGAAACAGAACTTATAAAACTGGAAAGTTCACAGAACCTTGTGACTAAACTACACCAGTCAGCAAGAAGCTAAATATTCTAACTTACTGCTAATAATTGAGAGGAAAAAACCTGATAAGGCAAGACTCTCCAAAGTGATTATTAAACAGATCACAGTACTGATTAATTAATGATTTACATTTTATAATTAATGGTTCCTTATATTTATATAATGCTTTCACCCAGAAGGATCCTAAAGTGATTAGATACAGGAGTGAACCCACTTCATCTGCCAATGAAACTGTAGTCGACTAGGTGATGTGTGGCAGCCATTTTGTAAAATGAGAAATTATTTCATCAGCTGAATTAAAGAGAAACTATTTGTAAGCTAGATAATACAAGTCCAAGATGGAATCTAGCCAGATACAGTTCTAATGTTGTAAAAAGATGTCAATAGATCCTTGCAACATAATTATTGTTATTTTAACAGGAATAAGCCCAAAATTATAAATCAGAAAATGGCTGAACCAACTCTTCTTTTCCATGGGAACAAACAGAAAAGAAAATGTTATATTACCACAAATGAAGTTAAAAGTACTTTAAGAACTTAAAATACCTCAAATGTCTGTCCTTCTAGGTCCCTGGCATCACACCAGTTACCCCACATGTCTCGTACACGACGTTTTCTTGTTCGCTTTAGGAGGACAAAAAAAGTAATTCAAAATGATAAACTGAAAACTAATAACCTTATGGATATATAAAAGCTAACTGGGTCTCATATAGGGCAATATTTTGTATTGAGTGTACAGGAACCAGCAAAATAGAAAGACTATAAAAAGGTACAACACCTAAAAAATATTTAAAATATATAGTTTAATGGAGTTTTATTTATTTTTTCAGTTTGATCATATTCTTTAAGCAAAATAGTGGCATTCTATCATTAGCAGGACAGAAAAGATCGCCCTTACCATAGACTGCAGTCTTTGAGCCAGCTGGTAAGCCACTAGAGCATCCCTTCCTTCTTTCAGACGTGACTTATCCACTGTTCTTGGTCTGTTATAGATCGCCTGTTCTGATACAACAGAGAAACACAATCAATTCGTAGACAGATAAGACTCAAAAAGCTGAAAGAACTGTTAATTTCAATAGCTGTGCACTTGTTGTTTTAAGCTGTACAGTTTTGGTCTCTTTACTACACAGAATGCAAGAACAAACAATTCTGACCAAGGAACAAATCAGCATGTTATAACTGGCGCAAAAAGCACAGACTTTCATCAGATGTCTCCACATTATAGGGATAAATATAAAAAAACAAGCAGATGTGAAGCACTGCTGATTGCACTTGAGCTTTAGGCTACTGTACTCTAATAAAATAGTTACAAATGGTTATTAAACTAACACCCTTACAATCTATGAACATTATTGAAAAAAATTCCAGACATCACAAAAGTGTTATTCTCATTTCCAAGTAATACCACAGTTGAAGTTAATGGCTCCTATAAGCTCCAAATAGGTGTGGATCCTTCCAATACAGTTCACATCACCACAGTTCTTCAGGCCAGGCCGCACTGAGGTCTTGTTTAGGTATTTGGGTTTACTTTTCACCCTTAAGAAAAACAGAAAAGGTCTACTCAAACACAGATGGACAAAGTAAATATAGCCACAGTAGAAACATCTGTCTTCACAAAGTTAGTCTTTAGAACCAGGTTCTTGTCTCACCACTGCTCTAGGATGTAGTTCCTAATTTTGAGGTAGCGCTCAGGCGTCTTAGAAGGCCGACCTTCAAAGAACTCTGCAATGGCATGTTTCTCCTCATCTGTAATGATGTTTGGGTCCAACTCCACTTCTTGTTCGGGGGCTTTTAACTCTTCTTCTTCATCTAGGCCTTCCTCCGACCCTGCAAGCCGTTGTGTTGGATCTTCAGAGAAAAACATTCAGGAGTTTACATACTTTGTCAGCTAAGTCTATGTCACATTACAATATAATTATGCAAGCTAATGGGATAAAAGTGTTGATAAAAACAGCTTTTTAGCAGTATTCTTCAGTTATAGGCAAAAAAGAATATTACTGATGGACTTTTAACTCAGAAATAATTAACATAGTTCATTTGTAAACTCTAACTATAAGATCATTTGAAATTAATTTCTTCAGGACAAACTTTGCAGTTTATCACTCAGTACTATCATACTTCTGAAAGGTATGTTACCATTGTATCTCTTTTACCTTCCAAATGGACAATTTATTAATCTACATAGACGGATTATATATTGACCCAGAGAACTAAGGAACAAATTAAAACCAGTAGCTAAATAATTAAGCTTTCTTCACTCTACCTGCAATGTCAGCAAATTCGCTTTCAAGCAGTGACTGTCCCAAACCTTCTACAATCTCATTCTCCTTCTGTAATCCTGGGCTGCCTGCCCTTAACTCCCGTTCCTCAGTCTCTTCTCCAGTTTCTTTTTCTGACTCTGTGTCATACTGAAACAGATCTGAATTCCTAAGCTGTTTTGCTGTAGGTCTGTGCTCTGAACTGCCAAGGACAGATGTTGTAGAGAAAAGGTGGTGAGTATAGTACTCGTCTGAGGAGCAGCTGGGAGTCTCTTTTTGGCATTTGGAAGTTGATCCAGGGCTCCTCTTTGCCTCCTCATGGGTTGTGCTGTCTAGGTCCTCCATGCATCCCTGCTCCAGATGATGGGATTCGGTCTTGCAGGCTGGCAAAGTTGTGTCCTGATCTGTGTCATCAGTGATATCCACATCTTCATCATCTGACAATCTCTCAATTCTGACTGCATTAGGCAGGGCAACAATTTGGTTCTCCACAGCCCTCAAGGAGTTGGGCTTATTGCCTACCACATCGCCATTTGATGAATCCTGAATAGAAGCGCCTGAACTCTGTTTGAGGGAATTTTCAGTCTTTGTCTGTGAAGATATTGAAAAGACGATGAGCCCTCTCTGCATTTTCCTTTTAAGTTATATAATTTCTTACGCTCATTTCCCTGTCCTAAAGATGCACAGACAAAAATGGTACATAACTGGTTCTAGAATCACAATACTGTAATAATCTAGCATATCTTAATAAAATAATTACAATTTATTGTATTTATGAAATACTTTCCAAGATCCGTATCTTCTAAATTTTAAAGGATCCAGAAGCATTTCACACATAGGAAAGTATCCCACTTCATCAAAAATGAAGGCCAATACTTTAATTACCAAATAGGCAGGTTCAGGATGCGAAGAGTACCAACTACTGGTGACCAAAATGTTCTCCCTGACCAGTCCTAGCCTTGCTTAACTTCTGAGATCTGACAACAGCAAAAACTCTGAAATTCCTGCTTGTCCTTAGCATGCTTATACAGTAATTGCTCATTACCTCAACAATGAAAGAACAGCAAATGTTATAAATGTTCTTCACTGTGATAAGGTTCTGTTTTATTATTTACACTCAGGACATACCATCTTTTTAAAGTACTGCCTTGCATAGCTCTTCACCTGCAAAACACTGCGACTGCCAATCATTTTTGCTATCTTGGTCCATCTTCGACCAAACTGTGTCTGAAACATCAAAAAGACAGGAGGGAAATATCTTTAATGCTGTTCAACATCTATTACACTTATAGTTCAAATTACAGACTATTAGGATTTGTTTCCACACTTTAAGCTGTACTAGCTACAAAACTATCTTTGGTGATAATGTTATAAAAACATAAACATAAATCTTTATAGAAACAGAAACAAATAAAAAAAATGCTAAATGATAAAAAATCCAGATGTTATACACAGTGCAATAGCCAGTATAATTTGTCAAAGTAAATTTATTACCAGTCCTTTTTCAAAAAGATCCTTTTCCTGCTGTGCCCAGCGAACAGTTTGAGTACCCGATTTAATTGGAGACCTATAAGGATTTTTTCAAAAGAATTTAAAAAAAAGAAAACCAAAAATAATTAAAACAAACTCTATTGACTCTATCTATAGCCAACAGTATAGATCCATTCAAAACAAAAAAGAAGCATCTTTCAGAACAAACATTTATTTATAAGAAATGTTTTTACAGAAAAAATAGGTATTAAGAAAATAGGTATTGTGTTTATATATAAAACTTGTATTTATGTAAATATATGTACAAATATTAAACATAGCCAAAATCATAAGACAGGATTACCGCAAATGTATATTAGGGACTGCAAAAGAATGTGTATTTATAAAGATACATACGTTTAGAATTTATCATATTTAGTGTCATAAATGACGTAAATGAAAGGAAATGTCAGTCCTGTACACCTAGAGAACTGCAAAATTCAAGGGTAGTCTTAATTTACCAAATAATTCAGCATTAAAACAGCTGATCTGACTTAATATCTAAATAATAACATTAAGAAATTATTATCGGAGTTATAAAATCAAGTTGATAAACTCACTTCTTTACTTTTTCGGTCATTTGCTTGTCACCAGTCCAGGTGTTCTTGGGAAGCTCCTTACCTGTTAGATAATATCTTAAACCTTTTTAAGAAAAACTGTCAGATCACTGCATTGGAGATGACTGCCTTTGATTAATAGCATTTCTCAACTGTGTTAACTTATATAATGAAATAATAAAATCAAGAAGAGGTGAAAACAAATATATATATACACTTCTCAACTATGTCTATGCTGCACTGATTCTTCCTGCTAGAAGAGTTCACATTTTAAGTCAGTCCAGAAACAAAAAAAGGATACTCCTCTTCAAGCAGCATGTTCTCAATAGCTGCTCTATTCTCAGCACTGATGGAGCTGTCCAAGGCCCAGGGCTAAGGGAGTTAGGAGCAGAACCTAATGTTAAATGTGAAACCTAATGTGTAAAGACTTCTACTCACATAACACCAAGCAGGCAAAAGCTTTGAGCTTCCTCAAAGCTGCAGACCAAGAGCTGAGTATGAATGCTGTTATATCAATCTCTTCCACCTTGCTTATCCACCTGTTACAACCTAAGTGAAGATTTTGTTTCCAGAAACTTTAAACCAAAATGAAAGCAAATTGAACTGAAAGTTATTGAGCAAGAGACATCATTTGGTTGTAACTGCCTCTTGTGGAGAGATTGAAAGAAGGAGCTTTTACTCCATGATGTATTCTGTTTTCCTGCTGTAAAGTGTGGACAAAATAAAATGTCACCAGACATGTCACATAAGCATGACAATAGAAACAATGTTAGCAATGCAGTCATGTAGGAAGGTTTGAATTGCAAATGCAAATTACTACATTGTAAATGCATCCACTTACTATCAACCCACTGTCTGTCCTCCATGATGACTGTAAATACTGGTCTTGCAAGAATCTAGCAGATCCAGCATCAGGGTCTCTGAAATACATTTCAGGCTATCACAGAAAGATTTCAAATAGTATCCATGTCAAAACATGGCTGTTAAACACAGCCATGTTTAGTGCGTACTTAATCCACACTGCACTAAGTACGGTATTATAATATTAAAGTTTATGTCGAAGACAACAGGTCAGATCTCTGAGACTACTCATGGGAATAGGCTTAAAGTGGCATCAAAAATATTTTTGGAAAAGGTCTTCATGTTCTTCAAATTTTAGATAACTTGAGTTAGTTCTAGATGGTCTCCTCTCGTTTGTAACTTTTCGTTCATTAGATGCTAAGCGTTTACTGAGAAGACGAAGCCTCCTGACAAAGGTGGCAGGATAGCACGATTAGCTCTCCAACACAACTTGCTCGTACATTTGAAAAGGTCTGTTATACCCGAGGTCTTCTTGTTTATACTTTTACATCGGTATTACTAAAACAGATGTAGCAATATCTTTAGGAGAAACATTCTGACACTCTAAAGGTTCTATTTCTATATAGCTGAAGATCTGAAAGGAAAAAGCGAGTCCACAAGGTATGTGAAAAAAATATATAGAAAACAACATAAATGTTTATTCAAATTAACATAAATCTATAATATCTGACTTATCTAACACTCACATTACGGATTTTACTCTCGACATTTCGCCATTCATTTCAATATGTTAAGTACTGAGACCTTTAAAAAAAACAGAAATTTCGTAAAAGTACTCCTGTCAAACTCTGAATCAACTGACACTGTGTAAGACATTACAGACACACTGTTCCATCACATTACCTCAAATTCAACTCAGATTCATCACCCTCAATATCAACAACATCCAGCTCCTCCGCCATGTTCTCTAAAACTCAGCACTAGCAACAAAGAGAAGTGACAGGTCGCTCAAAGGACGAAGTTTTTCTCTGTAGCGACATCTGCTGAGTGGAAGACCTCCAGTTAATGTCGTTATTTATATTTGATATATTTCATTTTTAAAACATTTATCTAAATAATGTTATGAAAGTATAAAAATATATTTTTTGATCGAGCTTATACTGAATATTAAAGTTCCCGATTTGTGTGATTCTATAACCCCATTCTTTTCACAAAACTGTTGACAACTGTCTAAAAGTCTAAAAGGATGCCCTTTTGAATGTGACAAGTTTTATGCACAATTGTTTGACAACTTGTAAGAGAAACATGATTACATTTTGTGTAGTCAAATTCAGTTTTTTATCAAACTTAATTTAAACCACTGAATTTTTTGGGTCCAAAAATAATAATTACATTGCTACTCTTAGTTTTATAACAAAATTACAATTGGAGAACACATATAAATTTAGTGGTTACTGGTGCTATAGTAGATACCTGTTATTAATACCCATCACCAGGTGTTTCCATATTTAGTGTAGCAAAAGCGAAATTAAGGAACTGGAGTTTTGCTTTTCATTTTCAATAATCAGCTAATTTTTGTATGCTATTTCAATTTTGCTTTGCAACTCCCTAATCAATTTCTGAAGTATGAAGTCATTTTAAAAGAAAATAATCACTCTGATCCCATTACAACATCTAGGGTGATGTATTTATAAAAAAGGTATATTTTGAAGCATAATACCCTGGCTTCTATTAAAAAATGTGTGGATGAGACCTTTGGGATAATAAGCTTAATGTAATGTAATGTAATGTGTAATGTAATTACTACTAGCAATCAAACATGTTAGAAGTGTATAATGGCTTCCTCTGGATTGTAACTATTCCTATGTTGTTATATGGCCAGCAGCCATATCACCCTGCAACTCACAACTGGCAACCCACTGAAGCTCAGCAGGTTTGAGCCTGGTCAGTACCTGGATGGGAGGCCTCCTGGGAAAAACTAAGGTTGCTGCTGGAAGAGGTGTTAGCGGGGCCAGCGGGGCCAGCGGGGCCGCTCACCCATGTGGGTCCTAATGCCCCAATGTAGTGACAGGGATACTATACTGTAAACAGTGAGATGTAAAACCGAGGTCCTGACTCTCTGTGGCCATTAAAAATCCCAGGGTGTTTCTCGAAAAGAGTAGGAGTGTAAGCCCGACGTCCTGGCCAAATTTCCCATTGGCCCTTATCAATCATAGCCTCCTTATAATCCCCCTCTATGAATTGGCTTCATTACTTTACTCTCCTCCACACTGATAGCTGATGTGTGGTGAGTGTTCTGGTGCACTATGGCTGCTGACGCATCATCCAGGTGGATGTTGCACATTGGTGGTGATAGAGGAGAGTCCCCATTACCTGTAAAACACTTTGAGTGGAGTGTCCAGAAAAGCCCTATATAAGTGTAAGCCATTATTATTATTATTGATAATACAAAGTAATTAAGACATTTTTAGTGTTGGTAAACAATTACAGGTACCTTTGTGTTAAAAGGGAAAAGGGTATTATATAAGTCAGTCTCTCAATTTAATTTCTTCCAAAAATAAAGTTTTTATTAAAGTTACTAACAATAACTGACATAAACAACTCATAAACACTTGAATGAGATAAGAGTATGAAACATAATACACGTTATTATTTACAAAATGTTTTTATATTCAGTTTTAAACAATTCAATGAAAATTCTCATAGTACAAATATTCCAAAATTATCTATTTTAAATCCTGCCTTAATTTTACATTTCCTAATCCATTACAGAAACTTTGAAGTCTGGAAGAAGTCTAAAAGTAACTTTCTTAAGTCTATAATTTGCCAGTTAAATTTACACCAGCTAATTTTCAGTGAAGCCTTAAAGAAGTCCTGATGGGTAATTTTAAACTACTTAAATTACCTGCTTTTCTGTATAGCTGGATCACATTTTTAGTTTAAAAGCCAAAAGAGAAACAGTTTACTCTATGAAGGCAGAAATACAGAGCTTGTGAATAACTCCTTATGGAGAAATACTCCCCTACCAGTGTCACATGAGACAAATATGAACAGATTTCTCTGCTACTTCCCCAACCTGTCGGATATTTCCAACAACGAGGTCACTTTTGTGTGGTGCCATCAGCTGAACTCCCTTCTGTGTTCCAGTAATACCCTATGTGTCCTCTTCTGAGGAGGAGTAGCAGTCAAGACCCAGAACATGTGGCTTGTGTTCGGCAGGCAGGTGGGACGTACTGAGCTCCAATGCCTCTGAATTTTTGGGAAGACAGTTCTGGGCTGCAGAATTCTGGGCCATGGAGCAGCTTTGAAGGTTCGGAAGCCCTGTAAACAGAACCCTTGCCAGACTGTCTAAGTTCTGATCATCTAGTGTGGCACGTTGCCCAGAAACCTTCACAGCCATCTTGCTGTGGTTGAAGCAGAGAGGCTGGTCTTGGCTGGGTAGGTCTGCCACAGGGGAAGTGAGTACAAGAGTACAACTCTTCTCTTTCTCTGGAGCTTGTGTCACCTTGCTCTCCTCTTCATCATCACTGTCTGACTCATCACTCTGGGATCCTGGTTCTGACAGCACAGGAGTACATAACCTTTTAAAGCCCCCAGACTCTGAGAAAAAATAATTCTTTTTAATTTTAATTTAATGTATACACACTACTTAGTAAAAGGTAATAGCTTCCTAAAGTAACTGTGGATTAAAATGTAACAGTTTTCAGTGCTACATGTTAGAGCTGATACTTCAAAATAACCCCATGTTTGAAAGAAATGTGCTGGTACTTCATGTTTGAAATAAATATATTAATAAAATACTACATGATTTCTGATGGTGAGCTTATAGTAATCACAAAACACTTTTGTTCTTCGTACAAAACAAGTAATTTTGTCAACAAAAATGACATCTCAGAGCCATCAATCTCAGACGTATCACCTCCAAACGTTATGAAGTTTAATAAATATTGATGGTAAAACTAGAAGTCCAAAGTAGTCCAAAGTGATACCTCTTCTAAATTTATGAAAAGTTGAAATTTATAATAAATTAACATAATACAAAGGGAGGTAGTACTTCTTTTTGCAACTCTTTGCAAGTCAAGACCCACTGTCTTTTTTTAATTCACTAGAGGCTTTAATTACCACTTACGAAGATGACTGTTCATAAAACATGGGTTGATACAGTCAAATAAGTCATCTTTATGAATTATGTATTTATTTATAAATATGTTATTCTTTATTAAAATAATTATTACATTATTTATAAATCAGTAAAAGGGATTACTGGAGATGGGGGATGTCAAAACTTACAGCAGTGATAGTTTATCCATCACAAAAACAGACATGATTTTGAAATAACTTCAGAAATCATTAAGGATACATATCTGCTGGAGACTTTAAAAATGTGAAATGCAAGCAAATGTACTTCAATGCATCACACAGGAGGACAGACAGATCTACCTGCTTGGCTAGGACATGGTACCCCATCCTGTGGCCGTTTCCTTTTAGTGTAGCCTCGGGGATTCCAGGGCTGGTGTTTGCAGGACGGATCTAGGACCCGGAGCTTGTGGAGGTAACTCTTATATTCCTTCCGCAGCCCCTCTATCTGCTGCTGAAACTCTGCAATCTTCCTCTCAGGGTAGTGAGAGAGCTGGGACTGCTGCAAGACAAAGAACAGTTCTATTATAAAAGAACACATGAAATGTTACAAAGAAATTAAGGCCATTTCCCCCATCATGCCTGTTTGGCTTCTAGTACATTCCCAATCTCCCTGCTTCAACAGCACTGCAGTGCAGTTTGTTCCAAAGAATTGCCATTCTTTGTGTAAAGAGCACCTCCTGTTTCCAACTCAATTCATTTTTCTATAGCCTCCACTTGTGCCCTCAAGCCTTTGTGTCTTCTCTGTTCAAGACTTAAATCATTGTCATAACAAGACCTCACTGTATTAGTCATCTCAAATATTCAACACTGAAGTGTATCAGTAATCTGCATAACACATGGAAACCATAGGACCAAATACATAGCAAGTCAGGAAAAGAAGTAAGTTCAACAGCTGAGTCTATTATGCAATGAAAGAGTGAAATTTATCAGGACACTAGGATTAGTACCTTTTAAAAAATGCTAGTGGCTTGTGGAAGAACGAAACAGGATCTTAAAAGACCAGGTATTGGATTATTTTGAACTGCATTTCCACTTTTAGAAAAAAACAGTCTCAACAGCAGGGGGCATTGTCATAATTGCAAAGAGGGAATTGTTAATGAACACAATGATTTCTTCATACATAGACAGCAATTTAATTGTGTCAGTAATAAAAAAAGTGTTATTGCCATAACAGAAGTCTACATTAGTCCCTCTTTGACAGTCTGATTGAACAAAACACCACACCAGAATACCTGCAAATAATATTCTATTTCATTTGTGATGCTTGGAATCCATTTCTTCACGGCTGCAGGTGAATTCAAGGAAGACTGGAAGACAAAATTGGGTCAGGGGACGTCAGGAACATTTTAATAAAATAAAGTAGGAGTTTTATTTTATAGTTTATTTTGGGTTACACTCACCAGTCTGGGTCTTGATTCACCTATGTCCTTTAAGCGACCCTCTGCGGAAGACGAAAACATTAAAACGATAGCAGATTTCTGAGAGATGAGAGATTTACCTCTCATTGTGTATTTTCATTGTGTACAGCTGTAAAGCGCGTTGAGAAGCCACCTTTAAAGGCGCTATATAAAAACGTTTTTAGTTTTATTATCGACCCTTAATTCTTTCGAAACGGAAAGAGACCTAACTTCATAACGATTTAGATAACTGCTAAAACAACTGTATCAATTTATAAACCTACGAACTCGAGACTCTTGATTTAGATTTGCAACGCTTAACTAGATCAAAGGAAAATGAACAGTACAAGTATTAATATCAGGAATAAATAAATATCCATTTACTTTTTACGGTTCATTTCATAGCCTGCCGAGTTCGTTACTGATATGATTTGAAACAATTTATTTGCATACTGTTAGATAGTTCTAGGACACAGAGCTCAGCGAAGCAGTTTTCTTTCACGTACCGTCTCGCTGCCTCTGAAGCCACAGCCGGTTTAGTTTCCCTAGCTGTTTCTCCTCATTCCTGGCCATCTTGGAGTCGCCGCAGCTGTCAACAACCGGTCACGTGCCCAGTCGCCGGAAAACAGCTACCAGTCTCATGTGATCTGTGAAATAGCTCCTCTCCTTGGCATTTCTCACTGATGCCACTGCTTTAGATATTACGCCTTTACTTTATTATTTTAATAACCAATTAAAAGTTTATTTAAATATGCATATCTAAAGGACAGCCTTCAAATAAAGATCATTAAGCACAACACAATAAATCATTAGTTTTACTATTTCTGGCTATTATTATTATTGCATAAACGTTTACTACGTATTATATAAAAACATTGGTAAAAAGCCTAACGTTTAACATTTCCAATACAAGTTACTGTATGTGAAGCAAAACATTTTTTTCTAAAATGACCACCAGAGGTCGGTATGTGTGAACTATGGTATCTGAAATTTCATTTCAGTGATCTGTTGATTTCTTAATGTACAGAAATATACAGATAGCCATTTACAAACATATGTTTTATAAGGAATATACTCTATACTCTGCTGTGAAAGGTATTTGGAATTCTACATTGTTTAACTCTTTCTCTCAGTTTTTTCTTCCAAATATGGAAAGTATGTAAATACTGTAGTCATTTTGTTTTAACATGATAATCCTGACAGATTATCACCTCACCAACATCTGACAACATGTTAGTGTACAGGATATAAGTGAAAATCTGATTAATTATTCTTCCAGAATAATGAAACCCTGCTGCACTACCATTTAGACACTGATATTCACTCCAACATGGGACAAATCTTCTAAGGTGTCGGAGTCCTATGAAAATCATATGATGTCCATTTTTAGACGGTTATGTATTATTTGATAAGAAACATTTTCTTCTTCAGTAGTGTGGCAACTTGCTGGTGTTTTTCTGTGTCCCCAGTCTGCGCCACCTGCAGTGGGGTTTTCTTCACACTGTTAGTGGCCTGCAGGTTGACCTTTTCACCCTGTGTCCAGTTCACTAGTCTGTGAACAGTGCCAAGGTGCCCGGCTCGACTGGCAATGTGCAGAGGGGTGTCTTTATTGATGTCCATAGCATTGATCTTTGCACCACTGGACAGCAGGAAGTCTACCAAAGAGTCATACCCATGCTCTGCCGCAATGTGCAAGGCGGTCTTCCGCCACACATTTCTATCATCAACATTCTTGTTTTTTCCAAAGGCCAAAAGAACTTTCATGAGGCTCAGATGGCCTTTTGCTGTGGTGTAGTGCAGGGGCGTGCAGCCATCCATGTCCTTGGCTCTGATCATTGCCTTGCCTGACAGCATGGCTGAGGCAGCCTCAGAATTTCCTTTCAGCGCTGCCATGTGTAAAGGTGACTTTTTTTCCTTGTCCACGGCATTGGGATCAGCACCATTTCTGAGCAGCAGCTGCACCACAGATGCCCCACCTTGAGCTGGAGCAAGATGCAGAGGTGTCCTCGACTGTTTGTCTTTTGCGTTAATATCTGCCTTAAATTGGATCAGCTTCTCCACAACCTCCTGGTGTCCCTGCTGACTTGCAATGTGCAAGGGTGTAAGTACCTCTTTGGTGACAGCATTCACCTGGGCCCCATGTCTGATCAGTACCTCCACTACATCAGGTTTGTTGTGCAAGGCAGCCAGGTGCAAAGGAGTCTGGTCTACAGGGCCTGGCATGTTAACGTCCATTCCTTTCTCTAACAGCAATTTTAAAACTGGCAGATTCCCACTCTGAGCAGCCAGATGCAGAGCTGAGTTATGGTTTGGCAATTTCTCATCCAGACTAGCCTTTTTGGCAACCAAAATCTTGACAGCTTCCAAATTCCCCAGCTCTGCAGCGAGAAGCAAAGGTGTGTACTGCATCCCATTACGTGCATTTATGTCAGTACCTCTGTCTATCAAAGCAGCTATAACTTCTTGCAGGTTCTTCTGAACTGCTTTGAAAAGTGCTGACACCATGGTATCAGGAGATAGCCCTTTAGCATGCTGAAGAAGTAGGCTATACATGGACTGGCTGTTAAGGTTAAATGCAGCTTCAATGATACTGGAATCTAGCTTGGCTCCAGCTTCAAGAAGAACTCTAGCTGTTTTCTCAAAACCACTGTGAACAGCATGGAACAGTGCAGTCTTCTTCTGATTGTCCTTTGCATCTACTGGGGCACCTTCCTGAAGGAGGATTTGGGCTAGATGGGAGTTATCTTTGAGGGCTGCCATATGTAGAAATGTCCTCTGATTATGGCAAATCTTGATTTCCTCTTCCACTAGAATTTTGACTGAATTGAGATGCTTGTTTTGGGCTGCCAAGTGAAGTGGAGTTTTAGATTCCTTATCCATGGCATAGATATTAGCCCCTGCCTGCACAAGGGATTTTACTGCCATGCTATGACCATTTTCAGCAGCCCTGTGCAAAGCTGTCCTTCCTTTTCTGTCTCTCAAATCCATTTTGACCCCTTTACGCAGAAGGAATTCTATAATTGGGACCTGGCCATTCAAGGCAGCTATGTGCAAGAGACTCTCATTCAAAGAATTCACTGCATTGATGTCACAATCGCTTAAAAGCTTCTCCAGACAAGATACATCCCCCTTTGCAGCTGAATCGAAAAGACCCCCAGGTTTACGATGCACCACTTCCGTTTCTTCTGGTGTCTTAAGCGATGAGATAGTTGAGACAGGTTTACTGTCTTGGATCTTTACTCTCTTTCGTGGAACTGCCATATTAGTGGTCTTCTCAGGGATTTTATGCTGTGTATTTTTGGGGGGATTACTGTGGTCCCTTTCTAAAAGGTACCCTATAAGCTGCCTTCTGCCATCCCCGATACTTTCATTCACATCTCCCACGTACACTTTGATGCTGTTGTACAAGTCAGGCTCTATGAGTTTCAGACATGGATAGAAGAACAACCTGCAAGCTCTCTCACCTTGGGAGACCAGAAAGTCCAGGACTCGTGAATTCTTCTCCTCCCGAGATCTGCAGCTAAGCACAAGGAGTCTCTTCTCAGGTGGTAAGACTTCCTTGTCAATCAGAAGATTCAGCAAATGCTCAGTTTTAGATATGCCTTCAATCAAGTCCCTCTTTTTTGTCTGGAGAACTTCGATTGCATACGGATTGGTAAACAGTCTATTGGAATGCATGGCTATATAACTCACAGGAACAGTTAAAAAAAAGAAAACAGTATATCCAATCTACTGTACATTGCAGGTTACAATGGCATTTCAGACAACACTGTAAACTTTACTTAAAGAAAACACTCACTTTCTTGGCAGGCATGAAAGGACTCCTTACATTTTTCTAATCCAATATCCCCTTAGCAACCAGGTAACTATTGATACCAAAAAGACAAAAAAAAATCTACATAAACCAAGTAAAATTATTTGAAGAACTTTTACAATGAAAATAAAAAGATTAAGATATTAAATTTGTGATTATTATTTTAACAAGATCCTGTAAAGCTTTGAAAGGTAAATACAGCCACGCTACCAGGCATTCTTTAACTTTTAATTGCAGTTCACACAATCTGTCAGAGGTGACTAAGGAAGTAATTTGCAGCCAGGATACTGTTTCCATGATCACATTTTGGCCTTTGGGTGTGTTTGCAGTTCACTCAGTCCAACAATAAACAAACCCTGCACAAGCTCTCTGACTGGGACCACACAGACCTACATTGATCGGACTAGAGCACTCCCTGAGAGACCACTGAGGAAATACAATGGACAGCTTTAACAATCTTTCCACAATAGATTATCCATATATGAACATGGTAGTTTGTTTTGTTAAAACAAAAAAAATCTCTTTAAGTTAATTCTCAATCTTACATCTTTGGTTTGTCAAACATAACTGGATTTGACTGTAATTGTGTACATTAAAAGATAAAGATAAAAAAGCTAAAATTGTGTTTACACTCCTTAAAACACTTCTTAGAGATTATCAGTGAAATGTGAAAATTAATATTTAGATTTAATCTTGGAAGGCATTCAACTCGTTTGTTTCAGGGGAAAAACGCGATACTACAAGAGGCAACAGATGAAAAGAAGACTCCTAAACCTAATGAGCTCTTAAGAGTACATACATTATATAACTTTATTTTTTCTAAAGCGTTAGTGAAAAGTATGTGATTTTTAATTTTTAAAATATACTTTGACACTCTCCTACTCGAGAAAGATCACACTTCCAAAACAAAAACTGTTGTCCAGTTTAATGCAGCAACAACATAGAGCACCCTGCAAAATGTCATTGTGAAAAGTACCCATGGTTTAAAGCCATGGTTTAATATTTTCAAAACAACTTACTGAAAAAGAAAATCAAAATTATTTATTGTTTTTGTTACTGTTTTTTTACCAACTAATATTTTTATACAAGTACAAAACTAAAAATTAACTTCACTAAAGTATATAGAGTATTAATAAAATGCTTCATATCTTACATGTTACGTCACACCCCTGGAGAACTCACCATCCTCAATCAACTCCTTCACATTCCAGGGCAGTTTCCAATGAACTAATCACACCTTCTCCCATTGGCCTACTTAAACCAACCTGACACACCTCTCCTTGCTCAGTATTGGGTTTAACCTAGCCAGAGCTGCATTGTTTCTTGTGTTGCAAGATTCCTAGGTTTGTCTCTGACTTTGTCTTCTGGGTCTTGACTTGGTTATTGTGGATTTAGTGGGTTTTTTACCCTGGCCTGACCTCCTGACCCACATTTTTGGATAAACTCCTGCTGGTACTTTTGAGTTCAGAGGATTCTGCTTAGGGTACTTCTTCTGCACTGTAACATTACACTTTATAAGATTAAATATTAATTTACAATAATGTAAATGCCTGTATGGATATAGACAGGCACAAACAAAAACAAATGTTCCTTAATTCACACCAAGTTTTCACTCAGGTCCAATTATCCAGAATACAGGAACATAGTATATAATTAGTCTAATGAAGGTCCAGTGATCTTGATGTAACCTAATTCACACTCCTAAGGTTGGACTTGTTCTGTATTACAGTGAACTATAACAGGGACACTTTACTGTAAACAGGTGCCGTCCTTCGGTTGAGACATAAAACCGAGGTCCTGACTCTCTGTGGTCATTAAAAATCCCAGGGTGTTTCCAATTGGTCCTTACCAATCATGGCCTCCTTATAATCCCCATCTATGAATTAGGCTTCATTACTCTGCTCTCCTCCCCACTGATAGCTGATGTGTGGTGAGCGTTCTGGCGCACTATGGCTGCTGTCGCATCATCCAGGTGGATGCTGCACATTGGTGGTGGTGGAGGGGAGTTCCCACTACCTGTAAAGTGCTTTGAGTGGAGTGTCCAGAAAAGCCCTATATACAGTAAGTGTAAGCATTTATTTTTATTTTATTTTTTTCACTTTTCCAGAAAATCTCTCTTAAAGTGCCTAAGGCTGTAAATTAACTCTTATTGCCAGACTGAATTGTGTGGGCTTTACTACTGTTTAACCTACAGTAAACTGTACAGTTTTCTTCACACGTGAACAGATGTCAAAAGATTAAACATTCTTTTTCTTTACTTTTCAGCATTGAATTAACTTTCAGTGTTCCTCTACAGCCGAAGGAAGTGACTCAACACTCTAGTCGAACATCTACAGTAAACTTGTTAGATAGGATGTTCAAACACTTACTTTAAAATGATGATCCAATCTGTATACATTGACAAGGATAAGCAGTCCTTTGGGTGTATTTTTTGTAAATTATACTGCAATGTCTTGTCAGAAAGACTAAGATTATTGATATGTAGTTAGGTTTTCCACATGGGCAAGAAAGGGGTTATATGTGGTCTTATTCCCACTTGTATTCTTCCTAGCAAGATACTTTTCCTAACTGGCCTACTTATGTTTTAGAGGAGGCTTTATATGGTATTAGGCAGACAGCTCAGGAAAATCTCTGATTTTTTTATGCCAAGTGTTTCTGTATATTTCCAGCAATCAGAATCTGTCCCACATCCAAGCTCCAATCATGCTTCTGGAATGAGCCTCCCCATCTCATCCTACTGAACAAACACACATACACCAGCATGACTAGCCATCTTGAAGTAATCCAGTAATCTTCTTAATAAAACTGATAATAGGATCATTCTGGGGGAAATGTATATTGTTTCAATTATAATAATTCAAGTCATCATATATTTGTGTAGCATGTATGATAAACTAACAGGTTAATGATCACCCTCCTAATCAATCCATTAATCAATGAATATCTTAATTATGGAACATTTAATATAATAATATTTGTATATTTATTTAAACAATTTTTACACAATATGTGATGTAGGGTACAATACTAACCATTGCTAACTGCAACTGAAGACTCTAATAATTATGGAGTAAAAGTTGTAATTCAAGTGGCCTGGCTAAATTCCACTACACCCTTGCACACTTTGACATTCCTAAATTTCTCTCAATTTAACTGGCAAAGCAATGTCACATCTGCTCTGTTGTGTAGTGGGATCACTGGCACAAACTGGCTGTCACTAGATTGGTGCTGCACTTCTGTGGTGAATGAAGTGGATTGTCCTCTATATAAGGCAACCTGGGATCCTTCCAAATGAAAAGAGTCATATAAATGTATGGAATTATAATTTTAAAATGTATACCTATCACCAACTTAAAGATTCGTAGTAAACCAACTTAAATATTTTGAATAAATACAATAAAGGCAAGGTGTTACATTATTTCAAATATTATCACTTAAATTCCAGATGTACAGTACATCCTATGAAATTCCTAATGCTGATTTGGATAGTCAGAAGGTGGAACTTACTATCTTTCACAGTGCTAATGATGTCACTGTGCAGTACACAAAAGGATTGGAAAACTCTGAAAATTAATGTAAGGATACAATAGCAGTATGCTTGTGCTTACATTTAACTATATAAAAGTATCCAATTTGAATAAAATAGTTAAAGGTCCAATTATACTGCTAGAGAGTATTTTTACAAACAGTATGCTTGTTGAATGCCTGGTCTGTTTTATCAATAGGTGAATATCCCTTTTATTCTGTTTGAGAAGGCTCAGTGAAGTATAAAGATGTACAATAAAAATAAAATTGGGGGAACAGAAGGAATTCTACCCTACAGTACTTTTAACACTAATCTACTGTAACGCATATGGCCGGCAGGTACTGTGTAAGAGCCGGCTTACCAGAGCGGTGACGTCGCCGCCCTTCCCTGTAACAGCACGACCACAGCCCCTGGGATGCGAAGAGATAGCTCTTCAGCTCACCAGGCTCGGTCCCTGTTGAGTGACGCGGGAATCCCGGGTTCGAGCCCCCGGCGATGCGGGGCTGACCTAATGCGGCAAGGGCGCCCACCTGAACCCAGTTGCGTTACACTACATATTTAATTCATATTAGTTAGACTTGTATTGCTCAACGAATACAGTTCTGTAGCCATAGTAATCCTTATTGCATGTTACAGTTCTAGAGGCTGTATTATCTATTCTGTACACTGCTGCTTGGGAATCTGACAGCTTGGTCTTGTAAACTGCTCTTCTCATTAGTTCTGAAAAGCTGAAGTGATGAGTTCCAGTTCCAGTAATACACGCCCACTATCTGTGGGGATGACGTACCTCTTCCGACCGTTCCTTTTCTCAATATGGGCAAGTAGATGCCCCCTTTCCGGTATGATGTCAATGTATCGCTCCACTAGAGAAAGTCTTAAATCTACAATTTCTTGATGCTTTGTATTCTTTTGCAGTATTTGTAAACATAATGTAACATTCTCTGTAGATTATTGCCATCCCCTAGCCCAGTATCAAACTTTCAGAAAAAAAAGTCGTGTTATTACTGTACGTCGGTAAATGGATTCATAATAAATCAATATAATCATAAATGACAAAAGCTAAGTATAGTACTGAACATTTCTGTGTAGTTCTGCTAACTTTTGTTTACACATTTATTTTATTAGAAACAGGCAAATGTACATGATACTTTGATCTTAATAGTAGATATTTAAAAAATGAGTTTCGTCCAAAACATAAAGCAACGACTCTATATTACTTGCAATGTGAAATATCGTTCAACATTTTAATCAGAGCAACGACGATACCTGTACTGTTACTATTGCTTTAATCAGAGCTAGAGTTGGCTGACCGCTTCTTACAAAAGGAAATTGTGCATTTATTTTTTTTTGTAGTTTTAGTTCAGTGCCAAAACGGATAAAGCAAATGACGGTTTAAAGAGCAATGACGCTCTCTTGTGGTGACATCCTGCTATTGAAGCCGTTGCACTTCAATGAACTGTGAAGTATTCTACATAAAATCAGGCTAAATTAAAATAATTTAGACATCTGATTTATATAAAAGGCTTACTCGAATTGAATTATAAATCCATTACTGGAATAACTCAATTTCTTGTGTGGCTGCCACCACAGTTGTTAACGATACTTCCAATCTAGTATTACTTCACATTCGCATTTTAATTTGATGAAAACTAGTTTAGTGAACTGTTTCTGCTTTGAAGGCAAAGCAGCAAAGGCAGTAAGGTCACTTCACACTGAAGTTTCGCACAGCAGCTTCACAGATCAAGGGTCTGACTGTGTGGAGTTTGCATGTTATCTTCTGTTCACTAGGGTTTCCTCAGGGTACTTTGGTTTCCTCCCACCTACCATCTGTGAATCATTCGTATGTATGCCTGTAAGCTGTTACTGAAATGGTTTGATTGTCTTGCTGGTTTGAAAACTTTATAGGTTTTGATTAATAAATGCATACAGCTTTGTCTAATTAAGAATTTAAATATCTTTATATTTTTTTATTTAAAGCACTTTATTCGCTCATATTCAATCTCTTTGATTATTGATGTGTGACAAATGAGGAAAGCCTTTGAGGCAATGCCTCCTTTTGACAGTAATATAAAGTTACTGTCACCTGACACCTGAAGAAGGCTCCACAGCTGAAATGTTGTTTTCTCTCTTCTTTTTGTCAGCATGGAATAAACCTATTACTTGTTCCTTTGCAGCCTACGCATGCTGACGCAGCTACCCACCTGAACATATGAAGTTTTAGCACATTTTAAAGTTGCATGAGTCCAGGACACCAGGCACCTGCTTTCAGGGGTCAGTAAGAATAGTATTCAGGTTCACAACTACAGCCACTGCAATCATGACTTCAGGTGAATAACCACCTCCTTGATCTTCTATTCCTAATCACCTGTATATGACCACTTCACTGTTACACAACTCCAAGACACCAGTTTTCAGGTACTTCTAAAGGGTAACCATTCAGTTCAAATAGCATTAACTGCAAAATGAGGCAAATAATTGTGCTTGAAACTTTGTCACATAAAGACCACCTGAAATCAAGCTCAATTACACATACTAAAAGATGTGATTCACTCAAGATTTGTTTTCAATACAAAAAAGGCTAGGACTTTTTGAATGCCTGTTTAAAATTGACAGGAACTTTTTTTTTTTTACACCAGATCCAATTAATATCAATATCTCAGTTTTCAAAAGTCTGGTCAGCTAGGCACTTAACTGTTGCTTTTGTGGTATAAAGAATCCTAGTGTATAAAAGAACACGCATTTCAAACTTGAAAGAGGCAGTGCAGTACCTACCACTTCTGAAAACAGGAGGGAGGGAATTTTGCGTAGGATGTGGAGAGTACAGAAGAATGCCTGCAGTTATCGACGGATCAGTTTCAGAACATTTTAACTTGCTCGTTATATGAAAAAAGTGGGGGAAAAACGTTTAGGGAAGAAAACCATTTTCCTTATACAACTACAAACCCACCACCCAAAACTTAGAAAAGAGATACATTACAGACATTCATTTTATATACTTTATTTACACGGTCCTTAAATATAATCGATTAGTTTCTGAAATCTTCAGAAAACCAACATAAAAAATTATATATTTATTACAAATGGTAAACATAAGTCCTCAAAATTTAATCTTATTTACAAATAACAATGGGTTAAACCCCATTAAGCAACATAAAACAAATTTACAAAGGCTTGAAGCTTTTTGTATTGAAAGTACGTGAGTTGCCATAAAAGTAACGAAAAAAAAACCTTGCGTACATAACCCAAACTTCAGGCAACTTTTTTCAAAAGTATTCAGCCTTCTTTCATCACAGTACACGCCTTTCCATGGCGTTACATACAGGCAACCTACTGTTTCTATTGCAGTGTATTTTGTTTTACTTAAATCTTTTAATACTGAATGATCTTCGAAGGTAAGGTCCATGCAAAACTTGGTCAACGTGGTCTCTCTCTTTTCGTTCTTTCAGGGAAAAAAGCATGAAACAGAACATTTACAAAGCTGTGCTGTTTGTGGCCTTGTCTTTTGCTACCGACAAACTCAGCTTCTGAAGTTTCGGACTTCAGTCAAGTCGGAACTCCTGTGCGCGCGGGGCTCAGGCAGTCAGGCAGCCTCCTTCCTCTCAGTCTCTCGTCTTTCTCTCAGTCCGTTTCTTTCTCTCACTGCTGCATACTAACTGACCGCTGCTATAGCTCGTATAGCCTTTTAAGTTTCGTCCTTGATTTCTCTGCAATTAGTCTTTAACTCGCTCGCGCGTTCTCCTTCAGAAGGTTTGCAGCTGCTGTGTCAACATGAGCTGGCACCCGCTGTTGACATGATTCATGACCTTCTGTTTCAGCTGGGCCACTTGCTCCCGGAGCATGTTCGCGGTGGAGGCCAGTTCAGAGTTCTGAGATTTGAGCGTCTTCACTTTTTCCTCCAGCCTGGAAATCCTCTCTAGCTTCCTCTTCCGGCACTTAGAAGCAGCGATCCTGTTCCTCATGCGCTTTCTCTCGGCCTTGATCCTCTCCTGGCTCTCCATGTCTATGGGGGAGAGGGGAGGGGTCTCGCCGGGCATCTCGGGTACAGTCTGCGGCTCCTCTTTCAAAGCTTGGAGCCGCGGGTGCTGAACTGGCAACTGCGAGTTCATGGGGTGCTGGTGCGGCGGAGGTGGGTAGCTCATGTTTGTGTTGGCATTGCTGTAGCTGGGCGCCGCTGCGGTGCTCATGGTGGGATTGAACGTGCTGAGGTCGGCGTACACGGGCGGATCGGAACGCATGCTGGAATTGAAAACTGCATTACCAGCCATAGAGGAAACAGGTGCCATCGCGTTGTTAATGTTGCTCTGCGGTGCCGAGGTGACACTGGGCACACCGGGCATGTTCTGGTGGTGCAACTCAGCCAGTGCCCTGACGAAACCTTCGGCGAACCCTTCTTGCTCGTCCGTGACATTTTTCGGGCACAGGAACTGTGTCGGAGTCGGGGTTGTGGTGATGAGACCGTTGCTGGACTGAATGATAAGCCGCTCCAACTCCGGGGAGGCTAACTTGAGCAGTCCGACATCCGGAGACGTCAGGATGTCATTGGCTTTTGCCCGCAGGTGAGGTTTGAGAGAGACCGTTGGATCTGAGAGATTCAGGGTCATGTTTTGTTTCAGGGCTTTAGGGTTATATCCGTAGCCGGTTGTTTCGTGCTGAGAGAAGGTAGCATTCAGCGAGTCATCGTAGAAAGTAGGTTCCATCTTGGTAGACATAGAAGTTTGACCAAACCTCAGTTCAAATATTTTTCACACAGGAGACAAAAAAGTTTCCCTTGTTTTACCTGTAGTTATTGAAAGTCCACCTCGGTCAAAGTTCGACTTGTCAGTCCTCCTCGACTTTTCAGCAATGAAAAAAAGTCTGTTCTTTATAGAAGAAAGCCCTTTTTTCTTCAGTTTCAAAGTTGTTGTAGAAGTACTTGTCCAGTGTAGCCCGTCTTTAACGTCTGTTGCTACTCGGGGGTTTGTCAGCTTCTTCGAACTTGGATGTTTAAGTTGAACTCCCCAAAGCCCAGTCAAATGGGGAAAAAAGTTTTCTTCCTTATTAGCGACACTTCTCTGAGTCAGCTTGCTCAATGACACGCACAGTCTCGGGGTGTAACTGAAGCAGTGTCTGTTAAAAGTGCCTTTTGTGGTACTCTTCAGTTGTCTTCTGAAGAAACGTGTTAAGTGCTGAAGTTGCTAGGGGGCTTATACACCTCTTTAGACTTGGGTGTTGAACTCTGCTAAAGTCTGTATACTCTGAGCTGTTCCAGCGTGGAGGCAAACCTTATCTGCTGGTACTGCCTCACTAAAAATAGCAATGATGTAATGCGTGAAGTTTCTTATTGGCTGCAGGCAATACACTGGGCGTGCCCTTATTTTCAGATAAGGTGCGTTGCCTAGACGACCACCCAGAAGATTCTACTTCTCGCGGTGGCTGATGGGATGAGGTAATTCGAAGTACTGTGCATTATGGGATTACGTATTGTTTTTGAATATCTGGTTACCCGCTTAGTTACACAGACAGCGGTTAGATATATTTAATTGTTAAAGGAATATCATTTTCGTTTTGTTTTTTAAATGTATTAATTTTTTAGTTTTTACGATAATTATTGGTGTATGATTAAAACACAATTTTTATGTTAAAGCTGGTAAAACGTACTTGAAAGTTTAAATCTTGGGACATATATGCATTTTACCTGTATCTCTGTTTAATGACACTTTATTATTGGGAATAGACCTAATAAGGGCTGAAGATGGTGCAAGGTACGACACACTACCAAGAGTAGACGGATTAAAACTATTAAATACTAAAATACGATTATTTTACAAATTCAGTACAGCTGTTGATGCAGCAATGGAATCACATGTGAAAATAATACACTTTTGAGAAACCATTTGTCAAACTTTGTTTTGGCTTGTAAAAACAATGTTAATTTAAATAAAACATGTTAAAGTAAGAACACACTACATCATAATATGAATGATTAATTTTAAACCTTGATAAATAATTGATCTCACCAGTGGAATTATAAATGTTTTGCGAGTCTGTTTGTATTACATGCAGGGACATGTCTCGGTTAGGTTTAGCGCGCTGGTCACAACGGGGTCAATCGATGGATTAGGTCGTCTGTTGTGATATTGACATGATACACGTCCAGTTGTCCGAGCGTCGCCCGCCAATCGAATTAAAGCAGGAGGCGGGTTTAAGGTAAAGTTACAGCAGGGGTCTCTCAAACGTCTGTGGGACTTAGCATAAGGGGTGCTCTCTAAACTACAAAATTCATCCATCACGGGAAGACAACTTTTTTATTAAAATATTTTCAGTTTTTACTAGGTACAGGTAGTGACTCACATGTTTTTCTATACCATGAAAACACAAAGGTGTAGACTTTACTTCGCTGTACATTTTTCCTACTTTGTGGATAGTAACAATGTTGGGTATACCGTTATGTAAGGTGTTTTCAAGCCTTGGACTCCAGTACTAATACTTCCTGCTTTTTTAGCTTTAGTAGGATTGTTAAAATGCAACTGTTTTAGCGAATATCAGTTTAATGATTAATTGTTTAGGTTAGGACGGGCAGCATCTTGTTCTCTTATCCTAATTTGTCTTGTTTTAAAGACACCAATTAGAGAAATGTCGTTTCAAATTTAACAATATTATAAAGCTTCAAAATGTTGTTTGTGCTAACGCATGTGTGTTACCCTTTGAAGAAAGCAGTTGCTTACTATTCCATATTGTGCTGAATCGTCTGTGATACAAAGAGTACAAAACGCGTATTCTGTTCTATTCTGTTCTTATTCTGTTGAAAACGATTATCCCAGTACTGTACCTCTGTCTAGTTCATTCTTGTGCCATTTATCAAATACTTCTGTCGTCTTGTATTTCTTCTTTAAAGATGTTTGCGTTCAGAGTTTAAATACCTTTAAAGGTTGATATAACTGACACGTTGCTTAAGGTACTTTGTCCAAGTTTTGAATGTCCTGGGACACTTATCGAAAAAAGCACATAGCAAATTAATGTTCATTTGTGTACTCAAGTATGGAGTAATTTTTGAAAGAAAAGTTTACATTGTCGTATATTTATATGTATAGTATGCGTTTGTTATATTTCGTCGTTGTTATACTGCGTCTAATTGTCATAAACGGTTGTAGTATTTACATTTATTTTAACTAATCGCTGATGCACACTACGTAACACCCGATATAAATAAATCGTAAGTGAAAAATTAAGATTATATATACAGAAATAACCTGATACTTTCATTTAATGAAATAACCATCAGAAGTAGTGCTTTTTCTGTTTAGGTGTGATGAAAAGACTTAATAAATACGAAAGGTGAAGCTCTCACAGCACACATACAGTAAATGGCATATACACTTTGTTATGTATGCCTATTCCATCGCGAGTTTATCCGACTGAAGTTTTTATATATTTACTTTATAAATCATTCATAGACATCTGCGGATATGTGGAGATTTTGTACAAACACTGTTGTTCAGCCTCTTAGATGTAAGTCTCCGCCCCACCACACACAGCCGGGAGGTTTATCAGAGGAAATAGAATAATTATCTGCTTTAATATGGTTTTGTATCTCGGTAAAGACTCTCCGGATTCAAATGAAAGTGTTTTGATCTAGAGAAAGGTTACAGAGAGGCATACGGTTTGAATAAAATAGGTTCATATCAATAATTTTAAAAATCTGTTTTTAAATAATCGGAGGTAATCAGAAGTGGATATATATATATAAAAAAAACCGAAAAGTAATTTCCTCATGCCCAAACAATACATACAGTAGTTGCTTAACGATAGGGATCTCGTAGAAGTACTTGTTCGGCTACTCTTGCCTTTGCGTTTTTATTTTTACTGTGTTTTTTGAGCATGTCCCTAATAAGTTTCACATTGTTGCAACAGCCCGAGCTCGGTCTCTGTACATCACGTAAACATGACACTGCACTTGGTCGATACGCTTGAGTATATCTGATTTCTGGAAATGGTAATGAAAGGATACCGCGTTTTAAAATTCACTTGTCCCCCCCTCCCCGGTTTTTTGTTGCTGTAACACAGCGATCGCAAAGTTCGTCAAGAAGAGAGCAGCGTTTTACCCGAACTGTGGAAAATAGATTTCTAGATTAATATGTATATACATTTAGAGAAATCTCAGACACCTTTAACTGTAGAAAACGTTTTAATATAGACGCCAAAGAACACAAAAGAAATGCAAATTACGAAAATAAAATACATATAATGGGTTAAAAAAATGATCGCAGGTTTTCAGAGTGTAAAGGGACTGCTTGTGCTAGTGGTTGAATACAAGGGCGCGTTCGTGAATTATTTTTTTTTAAAGAACAATTCAGAAACTCAGCACTGCGCATATTAAATTCCAGAGTCTGGGTCCTTCCATTATCCGTAATCGATTTGTCCTTTCAAGGTAGGCTACCCCTACTCAGTCGTTCGCAGGAAATGCACATACACATTCTCTTGAACACGCACGCGGTGTAATGTCAGAGATGACAGTTAACTAGGACAGCGTGGTTTTGGACCAGAGAAAACCCACAGACTCGGGGGTCAAGCAGCACAGAAGCTGAGCTGCGCTAACCCCCCACGCCACTGTGCCATCCGGCTGCGTTTATTTAGTGGTCTAAATTACTACTCCGGGTTTTAACTGTCTCTAATCGTTTACAAGGTTGTATTCTGGCTCACGGACACGCAAGAAATAAATGAGACATGGCGATACAATAATATAGGAGAAAGCGTTTCTTTGTTTCTGTCTTTTTAACAGATTTGCTTCTAAAAGAGTTTTTTGCTCATGACATTTGAACTTCACAATGATGAACAATTTAAAATGTATTTTCCTCTTATTTGAAAGCTCATTTTACTGCTGGGACCTCTCCCAAAATCATATGAGCTCCACTAGTAAACCTTTCAGTGGATAATAAATAACAGCCTGGCCATCCAGTATTTATCAAACTAAGAGCCTGACTGAGAGAGCTATTACATGAATAAAATATTAGCAATCTTGCACTCTTTGAGCTTACTACAATGCATAACAAGTAGCATTAACTAAGGTGGCTTTCCATGATTGATGGAAAGTATTAGTACTTGTCTATAATTGGATCCATTCTTAATGTCTTTGTTGATGTCTCCCATGTCTTGTTACATTGCTGCTGAGATCTCCATGTTTGTGATATGTTCTGTAGCTTCCATTTATACAAGTGAATAGAAATATCTAACATTTCTACTGCAAGTAATATTGAACTACAGAGGAAAACTGAAGCATAGAAGGCTTTCTTATAGTTAGAACAACACCACAAACATCCTGGAGTTTTATGGTAAAAATCTTGCAAAGATTTGATGGTTAATGTAACAAGGAAAACAGGAGTGTACAATGTGGAAAAGGTTACTTCAGCAGCAGTATAGATATTATGTTATTCTGATATTCTGTGCAAAAGTAAAATTAATACCTAATACCTTAACATGGTTCTATAAATGCCTAATTTAATTGATTACATTTTACTCATTACTCATAAACTTTTCTGATAAACTGTTTTGCCTTTGCATACGCATAAATTCTGCATTATGTGAAATCTGTCAGTCTGGTCAACACACAGAGTTTCACTTTCTCAACATTGATGTGTTGAAAAGCTTTATTGTGTGACAAACCCTACAATCTTTCATTTTCTAAGTAATATGTCCTTGCTTGTGAAGTAATAACATGTACTGCTGTTTTGTACTCAGTTTGTTTCCAGTTGTGTAATGCTTAAACAGAGCTTAGACAAGACCTGTTATTTTTGAACACAGGAGAAGTGGCTACACACAAGCCACCTTTCTTGCAAAGAACGAGCAGTTTAAACTTTCAAGATAAGATAATGAAAGAACCACACATTCCACAAGGCTTTCTTTGTTTGTTCTTCATTTAGTTCTGAAATGTTGCTCTTTTGCAGACAAATATTTACTGTTTACAGAATATGAGCAACAAACACCCAATAAGTTTTCCTTTTAATATAATAAAGTGCTCTTCTCAAAACATGGCATTGTGTCATCTGACTTTATTAATTTGATATACTTTTGTTTTTCACCTTTGGTTGATTTTTATATCTCTTAAATTGATTCTAGGAACAGAACTATGGTGCATTAAATCTTTTTCATTATCTGCATTTTTGTGTTTATGAGTAAAAAGTGGGTGGCACAGTTTGTTAGCATTGCTGCCCTGGAGCTGTGGGTTCAATTCTAGACCTGAGGTGCTGTGTGGAGTTTGTATGTTCTCCTTGTGTCCGTGTGGGTTTCC